GTTCAAAGTGTGGTGTCATATGAGCTCTGACCATTTCCTCCGCTGGCGTGGTTTCGCGGATGGCACCGCTTCTTATCGGATTGATCGAGCCTCGCTGGCTTCGTCAGGCTCCAGTTTTATAGGGGAGGAGCATATTCCATGATCCGACTGTTCGCCGCCGATACGAGGTAGGATCCTGGAAAATGCGGAACGAGTGCCCTATAGGCGATAAGAATGGTACAGTGCAGTGGAGTTGCGCAGAGGTAACTTTTGCAAGTGAGCTGGTCCTACTTCGATACTCAGCTAATGTCAAGCATCATCGCCCTTCAGAGGATGGCTCTCAGTGGAGTAGACACTATACTGCGTACGTAGGTTCGATGCTCGTTGTTCGCCCCATTTTTCTGAGCTGCGAAGGCGTCATCCGGTGAAAACTCCGCATTTGATCTTGTATTACACTAAATGATTGCGCACCATCAGAAATGGATCGCCAGGCTGGGCTTGTCGCCGAGAGCTCTTGGGTTATTATTGTTTCTCTCCAGGATTCCCCCCTTCGAGACAGTTCACTAAGAGCTGCAGGCATGAATGAATAGTCCCTGGAAACGGGATTTGAATATTTACTTCGTACGTACGAAGTATTTGATCCCTTATCAACGAGAACCAGTGACATCCATCGAAGGGTACATTTGATCGATCAACACAATTTACCTTCACCCACTAAGCCTGCCACTAAAAACTTCAACCCCCTCGAACTAAGGTTAGATCTCCACCAAACCTGTTACAGGGTACGCTCGACGATCTTGAACTGAATTGAAAGCTCACTGCGGGTGCACTTACTCATAGAGTCATAATCAACCCTCTACGGGCGTCCTCTGGATTCTCAGTTATCAGAGGTAGTAATCGCTCACTCAACAATCGCAGCCTATCACAAAATTTCCATCCTTCCGCCTTTTCTTTGTGAGTGATAGACCAAGGTCTCGTCGCTTCAACCTGCGAAATCCGGGGGGGAAGGGCCGTCTCCATTCGGCAATTTAAACCTGATGTTGCACCTGCACGTTGTCCTTGGCTAAGCTTGGTTTGGCTGGGCAGGCGCATTCTGAACGCCCCAGATCCAGGCCAGGTATCAACTAGACCCACTAATGCTTGAGTCGGCTAGGTATGAACAAGCTCTGGTGGACCAAGATACGAAGTAGCGGACGAAGTCGTACCAGAACGAAGTACGACGTAAAGAGTCGGCAAGAGGAGGGACCCCCTAATAAAGTTCAGTGTTGCCCTTCAAAAGCAGCGATCCCTTGATACTCGATTCTTGAGCCGCAACTAGCTGCCGAGACATGCCTTCGCGAACGCCAAGCAGCCTCACCCTCGCCAAACAATAGCGAATTTGTTATCATCCAACGGCTTTCCCAGATTGTGGCACACCCTCCCAGCTTCGTTTGTTTCAACGTCGGCGTCATGCGCTTCTGCCTCCTACCCTCCGAGTCCCCCAAGGTCTCGACATGTTAGCGAAATACCCAGCGCCCTCCAAAATTGGCAGCCTCCATCTCGAGGATCAAGCGAAGGAACTCGGAGGGCAAGGCTCATTCATGATATCCACTACCGCCACTAGTGCATCCACTAGGGCGGCCTCCCCCCACACCATTCGAGATCGCAAAAGGACTGAGGCGAACCAGAGCTCGAGGAGGGGAAGTACACTACATCACAAGAAGGTTCATGATCTCAATTGTGCCGTTTGTTGGTGGCTTCAAAAAGGCCTGCAACCACGAGGATCCAGTACGGCGAGCCAACTTTAGCAGGCATCAACACCTTCATGAGCACCCAAAATGCTTGATGGGTAACTCCCTAACAGGTTTCCATTTTTGGGAAAGCCCCCCCTGCACTCAATAGGAGATCCCCAATTATCGTGACGCTAGCTGGGGTCACCGTCAAGGGCGGACCCCTGCGATCGCATTCCGGAACGAAAATTGATCGAAGCAGCTGCATGAGCCCTGCAGCCTGTGAGGCCTGAAGAGGCGACTGCACCATCTGAACATTGAATCCCGCCGTTTGACCTCTAACTTCAAGGCAAGAAATTACATAATCCGGCTCACTGCATTGCATCGAGATTGTCGAAAGGTCCAATCTGGCAGCATTCCAATCCTCGAGGTGAATGATGCCTGAAAGTTTCTAGTCCGACCTTCGATCAACTGCGGGGAACTTGATGGCCCGATCTGTTCCCTTGACTCCACTGGGGCGCACAGAGGCCAGCTTCCTCCGAGCGCAAGTTTATTCGAGCATGTTGTTAATATTAAGCCAATCTTTGCGGCCCCGCCGTAGCAAGAGCTCTCTGATCCTCCTTTGCGATTTTGGGATTCGCACCCAATCACGGCAGAGCCTGGTTCCATCCGGAAACAGCGCACTGACCATCCTTCAGATTCGGCAACATTACCAAAATATCGCATCTAAAACTAAAAGCGACAAGTACAAAAGTACAACAGGGTACATGAACCACGGGTTTGTGGTCCGTGGTCCGTGGCCTGTGACAGAAACCATGGGCATGAAACATTCGGCCAATCATATGGGTTTCTCCAAAGTGCTCTCAGTCTGAGGGCCGCTGTCTGAAACCGTGCTCTCGGCTGAAGGATTCGATTAGAGAGAGGGATTTCATATTGACAATGTCTATGACGAGATTCTCTGGTCTCTGTTGTTTACTTGATATTAACAAAGTTTCCGCGCCTCGATATTTTCTTCATCCTGCCGTGGCGTGGACGGTTTGGAGGTTCTCGTGTGGCGCCCTGAACGTCCACGTCCCTCAGCGCGGGAAAAGGCATGATGATAAATCTTGTGGCCCAATTCTGAAACTTCCTCGGGTGATATGATACGACAGATCGATATGCACTGCACTCGGGCGTGGCCCTCTCGCATAGCGCATCATCCCCGCGAGAACGGAACGGATTTAGCAAGAGTCTGCTATTGTTTTAAAAATAGAGCTTGTCACTAGCCCGTCATGTTAGAGACGGGGACTAGGGTCATCTTCCAGCAAAGAGTCCGTGTTAGTTGGTAAACTTAGATAGTAGGCGATCTAGCTTCGAGAAGGCGATATATAAAGCTGTTATATTTTGAGCCCAAGACATTTGATAGGTGTAAACGGCTAGAAGCTCTCCATGATGGCGAGAAAGAAGAGATCGATACCTCAGGACTGGCCATCCTCCCAGCGACTCTCCATGTACGTATTCTATATGATGCCCGGGTGATCCTCAACGCAGAAGCGATGGGCAGATGCATCTACACCGGACATGATACTTTCCAGGGTCTACGATGTTGAGATCAACGCCGCATCCAGGAAACCCAACCCATCGGTAGTTCCATCCATGTACCGGCACAAAGCATATCCTACTTCATACAAGGGTCCATTGCCCACATCCAAAGCCTTGCTCAATCGTTGCATCACGAAGCCAAAAATAGTTCCCATGTGCTTGGTAGGTCCCTGTGTTGGAGTGTGGGGGTTGCAGTTGCTGACCACGCCGTTGCGTCTTATCGATAAGCTCAAGTTTCCAAGCTAAAACCAAAGATTCTTACCCACGCTTCGGGAAAGGTGCCTCCGATCTTCTCTGCAAAAATTCGTTCATCGAAGACGACAACGAGACTCTTATTATCCTCCTCGAACACCCTAATCATCATGCGCTCAACACGGCTGCTTATAGAAATTTAACATCCAGATCCTTGAGACGCGGTATATCGCCGTCAATTGACCAGAGTCCCTCGATCCAGCATCGAGCAAAATGGATACCCAGTCTTCGAAGAGGAAGGGTTCGACAAGCGTTGCGAACCAGGCGCCAGGATCCAAGAGGAGGAAACAGCCGCCAACCGCGGGCAAGAAATCCGGGAATACCCACGCCGCAAAAGCAGCGACAAAAGACGCCAGTTCGGAAGCGCACCCGAATTCGATCCCTCTGTGCGAGTTCCACGAGGCGACCCTCGCCGAACTGAAGGCCAAGTACGATGTCGTCGTTGCGTCCGTGTTGTCGTCTACCAAGATCCGCAATCGAGTCACGAGAGTCGTCGAACACCTCCAAGGAAGCTCAAAGACTTCGGAACCTACAGAGAACAAGCTGGTACCTCTTGCGCTCGTCCACGCTCGACCACCCGAGGTATGCAAGATGATTACGATTACGGAGACAGCAAAGGGGATATTGGCCAAGGAGGGAAAGCCCGTCTACCAGTACAACCACTTTTTCGAAGTGCCGCCGAAACCTGAGGACCGGTCCGTCATTGAAGAGACGGTGATTGGAGACAAGGCTGTGGAGAGCGTCGAGGAAGGGGATGAGGAGAGCGATGATGGGTTCGAGAAGTTGGAGATTTACGACCGAGCTGCGAATCCGATACGTGCGTCGCGAAAGACGAAATCCCTTGCCATTTTTATTTCTACCGTTCCTGTCCCGGAGCTCAAGAGCAAGACGGGCGTCACAGAGCAGATACGCGAGTGAGGGTTGATAATAAGGCCATTGCGGGCGAACTGACTACTTCTACGCTGCATCCAACATCGATCATCCAACACCCAACAACCCGGACCGAATCCACCGAGGGAGCCTTGAGAAAAGCCCTCTTGTAATACCAATACCCCGGCATTTCCCAAACAGACAGAATGTGTTTTGACGTACCCAAGGTCGGCGGGGCAAAGACACCAGCTGGGGTGGAATCATGTCTCGCCGATATGACTATACCGAGATTATACAAAAATGACCCAATTCACAATGAAATATGCAATTTTACAACCTTGGATAACACCGCACCCATATGCCCTAGCCACGCGACATCCTCCCATTTTCGGTCCCGTTCCAACGCCCACAACCCTCTCCCCCCGAGACTCAACCGAGAGGCTCTGTTTCAAGCACAGATCGACGAGGCCAACACAGCATTCTCTTACCCTCCGAGCCAATCAACTCAGACATTTCGGCATTGCGTCTCAGCCGATCTCAGCCAAAAATGTTCCATTCCGGACAACCTCCACCGCAGATGCTTCCCCGGTTTTCCTAACACCACACTCTTTAACGAGGGGTAGAATGGTCCTTGGCGGAATAGACTATCCTTAGGACAAAGTTGACGACAACCGCCAACAGCAGCATAATAGCCAATATCGTAGGACCGAACCTGTCGTCGAAGCCGGCCTGGCCGCGCAGCCGGATCGACTTGGCTCGCCAGTGGTACGTCACCAGCGCGTAGAGCAAGGTGAAGACGGAGACGCCGGTGAAGAAGAAGGCCGAGATGAAGGCGGGTCGGTCACCGAAGTTGAGCATACCCAGGGAGAGAGCTCCGAGGACGACGGTGAAGTTGAGCCATGAGAGGAAGGTACGCTCGTTGGCGAAGAAGACCTTGGGCTCGACTCGGGTGGGGAGGGCGATGCGCTTGCCTGGAAGACGGGGTGGAAGAAAAAAAAGGTCAGTTACATGATGTTTCTGTAACTCTTGTAGAGGAGCTTTCCTCTCTTTGAGCGGACTTACCCTGGGACGTCTGGAGAAGAGGCTGGCTGGACATTGTTGTAGTTGATGAAGGCGTATAGCTATGAACTGTACGAAGTAGGTGGATCGCAATTCGAGTCTTGGCAACGATGCGGAACCAGGTGATAATAACAAGGCTGATCAGAACTGGAAAGCTCAAGGACTGAGGCCTAGTATCGGGTTCGAAATTATCGATGGACAAAAGTCAGTTGAACCGAGTAGAGCTTATCTGATAATTATAGACGGACTCAATTGCACCGGCAAGGTCGAGGTTCCAAGAGCTAAAGGCGAAAGAAGAGGGAAAAAATGTGAAAATGGGCAGGAAGAACAACTTGAGTTTCAATTGACGTCGATTTGGAGATCTCCAGAAGTTCTCCCCCCACTGTGAGAAAGGCTTAAGAGTTGACACTGTACGCTGTACTCCGTAAGTACACACGTGCGAATTGTCGCACTATGGTTGGCTGGGCACCTCAAGCGACCAGGATAAATGCACTGCCAGTGCGGTAGTGCACTGTGATTGGGCTGAATGAGCCCACTGAAGCTTGAACTCGACCCGGTACCTGCGTTATAACTCGCTTAATAAGACATTTAAAGAAGTCGTGTCCAGGTATCTCCAGCTCACCCGGTAGTCACGTGCTAGATTGCTCAAAATATAAGCTGAGGCTGTGCGACTGAGACAGGCGGAAACGACCGCCATCAGCTGCCAATAGAGAAAATGCATTGTGGATCAGGCAACATGCACGTCCAAGCAACCACGCGACGAAATGGGAAACAAGCAAACGAAGGAAGATAAGGCAACCAAATCTTGCATTCCCCAAAGCTCCACCTTCCGCTTCAGACAGGCACGGCTATAATCAACAACGAAAACCAAACAACGAATTCCACCATCCCATCGTGTGGTGTTTTGATTCTTCTTCTCCTGCCTTGTCTCCAGACTTACGTCTTGAAGCTTTGTCAATCCTTAGCGGTTTCGATTGACGGACGAGCGAATTCCTCGTGGCTTCGTTTTGTTCCCCCTCGCGCCGCGGTCTCCCCCCTTTTGCGAACACGGCTCCCAATTATCTCCTGATATAGCCTCGTTTCGATATTCCTCCCTAATCATGGCGAGCCCGGTATGAAACCAGATCTCCCTTATTATCCTCCCGTGCCCCCCGATTGGGGTGAGGAAACTCTATAAATTTATCATCAGCCCATATGTTATAGGGTAAAAGGAAGACGGGGTTTTTTCTTGAGCTAACGTTTATGAACTATATAGCCCGTCCCCTTCAACCGCCTCAAGCAGATCGCCAATGATGTGCGTTTTCTTCTTCCGTGATCCACCTACCTATTTCTTCCCCCGCGATCGATGGAGAAGCGGTTCATAACCAACAATATGGGCCTCTCCTATTGAGAGGAGAGGGTCTCTCTACGAAAGAATTCGCTCGTGTCCGGGGACTAACCAGGCTGTTTTGCATTCTCTAGGCTTGCCAAAGCGCCATTGGCTCCGCCGAGTACTACGATCATTCCAAGACGGAGCAGTGGAACTCGACTATAATCGTTCGTATAACCCCCTTCCAATATCCATTTCCCCCTAGACAACTAAACAAACCAAACACGTCACCTCCTCCAGGTTTTGCGACGAAAGCTAGAAAATAGAGCGTGAAGCAAAGCTAACACACATCTCCCCCCCAAACAAACAGAACTCCATCCTCAAAGCCGTCATCGCCGAATCCACCACCACCGGCACCCCACCCGCCTACAAATTCGCCTGCAACTCCACCATCGTGCAACACCTCGTGCCCACCTCCCAGCTCAACAAGGCCAAGGGCAGCGCTGTCAAGGATGAGGAGCCCCATGTGACGACGAGCGCCGAGGAGCCCAAGAGCACCGACGGCAAGCCCCACGTTGGCAGGCGGGGTATGCATAGCGCTACGGGTGCTTATTGGGATGAGAAGAGGGATGGGATGTGGAGCTTTAAGTATGATGGGGGTGAGGGCAAGGGGATGGATGTCGTTGTTATGTTGATCTGGATTGGCATTTAAGGGAGGAGCTGGTGATGATGGATGAAGGGGTTTGAGGAGGTGGAGGAAGGGAAGAAGTGTGTTGAGAGCGTACTGATTACGTGTGGGTAGCCAGGTACGAACGAGACTTGGGGGGAGGTGAGAGACTGAGAGGCAGAACCTGGGCGTCTCGGATTGGTCTTCTTTTTTTTTTCTGCACATTTGTTCTCCTGTTTTTTTTTTTTTTTTTTTTAACTTGAGAAACGTCGTATCATCTCCGCGTACAATTTTCAAATCTTCTTTTTCTTTTGCCACATTGGCCATTTGCTCGTGGTGACCCAGGATGGCAGACTTCGTACGGGAGAGACTGACGCATGAAGCGCCTCCCCGCCTTTGAACGTGGTTGCCGAGTAAGTTGGATTGTTGAAGGCGGGAAAAGAGACTCGGGCTGTCTGGCGGAACAAGAAGCATAGAGGACTGCTTTCTCTACGTCTTAGATTCAAGGTGGGGGCGTATTGCAAAGAGACATGTTCCCATATAGAGGAAACCAAAGCCTCTTGGACAACGCAGCTAGCGCACGAGGGAAAAGTAGATGGAGAAACGGGCTCATATTTCAATCCTAACGCCATGTCCTATCTTCCGTATACCATTAATGCCAATCTTGCCTTTCCCATTCCCTTTCTATGAAGCAGATCTCATACGCCCGTTAACCCATAAAAGCCCACTTAACACCTCACTCACTTCACGGGACTCACCAACCTAAACTCCCCACTAACACCCTCAAATCCAGTAATATCTCCCCCGAGATTCTTATAATCCCCAAAATACCTAAACCGATACGTGCCTTCTTCGGCGCCTTCATCCTCCTTCGTCTCCCAAACGAGATCCACCTCGCTAAACCCCAAGAGCTCGTTCGTTCTCCTCCAATGGAAGACGAGATACCAGTCCGAATCGTCGCGGACGACTTCCCAGTCGTCGTCGGCGACCTTCTTTTCCACAACGGCAAAGGTGTCTTCGAGACGGAGGTTGTTGCGGGGGTTTGCGGCAACGAAGGTGGCGTTCACGACGGCGCCGAGGGGACACTCCTCTGCCACGTCGGTGAGTACGTCTCCGAATTTTTTGAAAATGGGGGCGTTGTCGAAGACGACAGGGCTGATGAAGTTGAGGGAGACGTTGGTGTTGTCGGGTGGGAACGGTTGGGGGAGGTTATTGGAGTCGCCCGCGGCGGAAGACCTGGCGAGGTAAGGGAGGAAGGTGAGGGTGCGGTTGATGTAGGCGGCGAGTGTATGGGGGCCGTAGAGCGTTGAGGCGCCTTCGTATCGTTGGATACTGTTTGAGCAATGTTAGCCTTTTGTTTCCTTACCATTGTAATCCTCCGCCACTAGAGACACACCTGTATTCCTCCTCTGTCGCAATATAATGGGCATAACTATTCGCCGGCCCACCCAAAACCACAATCGGCTCCGTTGATCGATCAAAATCCGAGGAAAACAGTTCCTTTGCTCTATTCCTCACCGCGTCCTTCCAGCGACGCCCACTCATAGTAGTCGCCTCACCAGGACTCACGATGATGAAGAACTGTCCGACCCGGAAAGCCTGGATATCGACAATGTTGGGCGTCCAGTCATAAGGCTCATTCATCTCGCCTACGTCGAGGAGAATCGGCTTATGGCCTTGGCACCTCTCCTGTTCATCCGTGGGGTCCCTCAGAAGATGCGATACCACTCGCCATACAGGCATGGTGTTGGTCTCGTTGGAATGGTGTTGTGTGAAATCAAAGGCACCTGGACCGTCGGATGTCCCAGCTGCGAAGGAGTATCCGAGGGAGGCCGGGCAAGCCTGGGCTTGGGTGCCGTTAGGGAGTACGAAGTCGAAGAACGACATGTTATGGAAGACGTGGAATGACTTGACGACGCCACCCAGAATTGGTACCTCTTCTGATTCCATAGTATCGTAGAGGTCTCTCGCCGCCTCGAACTGTCTCTTTCCAATCTCGTAGCACGATGAGGCGCCGTTATCCTTCGCTCTGAAATAAGGACCTCGACCGTGACACTTTTGGCTCCTGCCGTCAGAACAAGTACTTCTTTCGAAGCTACATACACCACCGGTATCATCCTCGCACCAGGCGCCGAGAACATTCGGGCTAACATCTCCTACACTGGCCTGAGAAAATCCGGCGACGAAGTCATCGCTGACACCGTCGAGAAGGCGCATGTCCTTTTCCAGCAGATCGGCAGCGACCCCTTTGTTGTCGCCGGTGACTAGAGTATTGTTCCCAAGCATCGAGGTCCCATGGGTCGGGAACCAAGTAAGGACGCCGATAGTCTTGTCGTCCGAGGACCTTTGGAACTTGAGCATCGTCATGTCCTTTTCAACGGTCCCGTCGTCTATCGCGCTAATGTTATACCTGTTCCGTTCTGCAGCCGGGTTCGCAAAATAGGCATAGAGACTGCGATTTATGCTCGCACCGTAAACCTTCGTAAGCCCGACACTCAAGCGGCCGGGTGCCAAACTTTCATGGGCTCTCTTGATGGACAGAAGGGCACCGTCGACTATGGCCTTGAAACTCTGCTTATCGAAACCTTTGCTCGTGATCTGCGGTAGCAGATAGTTGAGCCATGCACCCGGTCCCGAGTGAGAGTGCGTCGCTGTTACGGCAAGATTATGTTGTCCGTACACTGCATATTCGGGTCCCAGGGCGGACAGTCCAGAGAGGATACCATAGCGCACTGCGGTATCTCCGGATTGCGTATCGAGAACGAGATAGACGAAGCGGTCTTCCGGACGGCTGGTACTTCCAACAATGAAGGCACGGGAGTATAGTCTCTGGCGTAGACCGGTGCCGACTTGGTTGGCATCGGCATATCCCATCAAGTTTATCTCGACGACCGGGCCGGTGATGTCGGCTTTGCCGGCGCCGATGAGATATTGATCGTCATCGAGGACAACGGGGAGTCGGACCTTCGAATCGCCGAATATTCCCGGGAGGACAGGCTTCTCTGGAACTCGCAAGATGCTAGTTGAGATATAAACAACGACCAGGGAGGAGAGAAGCGCGGTCAGGAATAGTAGAGGTTTTAGTATGCACGGGCGTGTCGATGGTGCCTGACGGCTCGACGAGCCTCGAGCGGACTGATTTTCACAGTCCTCTTGAGGCTTCATTTTTACTAACCCATGGGAACACAAAAACGCTGTGTTTTGTTTTGGGTGAAGGTTAAATGAAGCTCTGGAGTCTGCTTTGTGAGAGGTTTATGGCTCGGGCGGTTTTGATGTTGAAGGTGCAGCGGTTGGGTGCAGCAGCCCTATGACGTAGTCTGTTGCTCCAATGGCAGTTGTGAATCGTGACCATGGAGCAAGGCACCATCGCTGTTTCTGTTTCGGTTTCGCTGCTTGTCCCTAACACCTTCTCGATCTCTGGCCCAATAAGAAAATCCATGGAGGAACTGTCTTGTGACACTGGTGGTCTCGGAATGTGGGAGCCTCGATCCTCGAGCTGTTATTCTACAGGTCAAGCTGGCCGAGGAGGACTTTGGACACTCGTTATTTCACCCATGTCCATAATCAATTACAGCATTGAAGCTTTCTAGCACCTCTTGGCTTGTCTTAAGGGAGTTACTTGCTATCCGCTGTGCATTTGGCAGCAGCTTAGTACACTCTTCACATGTCAAACCAACAAATCCTACTAATAGCACCAGAACTCGTTACAGGAGCGAGCACCTTAGCAGGGAATCAAACACGGTAATGTCAGTCCAGCAGTTGTCAACTTTGAGTTGATACCCAAGCTCCCCCAATATGGGGCTTGATAGTGTGGTTGTAAAGGAGTGCATGCGGCGGCTGACTCCAACCTGGTCAGTCGCAAGACAATGGATTTGTTCACGTCCATGATGGTGTGCTCGAGACCCTTGTTGGTGGGCCGGAATTAGATCGGTATCAAAATATTCCGTATCCATGGGCTCGGAGGTGGATGGGGAGAGACGGCAGAACAATTGGAGTTGGAAATGTGATTAATAATGTAGAATGTGTGTGCTCTTGTCGAGTTGGATCCCTCCCAAACACCAACTCGGCGAGATTTCGCGATGTTCGGTTTGGAATGCTTCAAGGGTGAGTTTCGGTGCTCTAGGGTTTCGGCATTTTTGTTGGAGGGTAGGGAGCGAAGAGTTGTGAAGCAGACTCATCTCGAGTTCACAAGATGAGGCTATGCAAAGGTACAAATACACAGGTACTACATTAATATAATCTGCAATCTCTACCCCGCCCCCACCTTCTGCTTCACATCAAGGGCGTGCAGTCCAGCATCGTTGGTTGGTGTTAACTTCCTTTTCGGACTACAATTTCTACTATTTTACGCTACAATTGTACTCAGCAATAACGACCCTGCTGGATTATAAGAAAGTAGAATGTACACTGCTCATGTTATCTATTCTAAACATGTGAAATACAAAGAAGGAAATCGCATTGTATCCTGAGGGCCGAGGGATTTTCAGGTCGAAGGGAGACTGTGAGACTCTTATTTGACAACTTAGAGTCAGTCTCTCGCTTGCTGGATGATGCATCGCTGAGAACATTGATGAGGAACGAAAAGGAGCACCGTTGACCCGAAGTCCGAAACGGGTAGATTGATGGCCCCCGGAATTCATCAGATAAAGGCAAAGCTCCCATCAGATCTTTCCGCGCTTCGGCTCACAATTTTTAGCCCGAGCCAGCCGAATCTCCGTAAAGCTCCGCCCTCCTTCTCTGCTCCCTTGTCGACAATGTCGTATCCTTGATTACAGTAGGGCGATGGCGCAAGCTTGACCGCTAACCATTGAAATAAAAGCTCCGTGCTTCGACGCCAAAATGGACATGGACTTGGGCGCCCGGCTGCCCAGCCAAGCAAGCACGTCACAGACCCGACATGTCACTTGCCGCATTCCTCTGCGGGATTTCGTACATGAACAGACACGGCAGGTACATCTAGGCCTGAATCTCACGGCCAGGGCGATCAAAAAGACAGGGGACGGCATTCTGGAAAGTCGGGTCCGTGAACGTTGACGCATCACTGATCCATCAGATCGACGCCATAGCCACAAGAGAAAAAACGCCTCAATTCTATAGGCTTTGAATGCTCGATCTTTATCGGTATCAGACACCGTCCGAATGGAGGGAACATTACAAATTCAGGGTCCTGCGAAGGGGACCGCCCCCTCCCAAACTGTATCGCCTCCCATTCTGATACCGCACACCCAGGTTCATCGGCTTGGCGGTGGATGCGTCTGCCCTTCATGCCCTTTTGGGAGAGCTTTCGCAATGCCTCGGAGAAGCTCAAATCGCGCAAGTACCTGTTATTAATCTGAATTCGGGGCCGTCGCAGGTACTCGCCGACCTGTGGACTGGACACAGAGACCAGACAGAAACACACAAAACGCAGGCACGGAAACAGGTTTCTATGCCCGTTTCTAGCCTCCGTGGTACCTTGCCGCGCTTCCCTTCCCATCCCACCACCTCTTAGTCTCGTCGCTAATTCCGGGCTTGCCCCTACAATATTGCACTACACCATCACCCTACTACACTACTGCTTCGTACAATATCCTGCACTCCTTGTCGCGTCCAAGTGGAGCGCAGAGCGGGAACTGGAGACCGACCAGACTTCGTTTAGTACTTTTAGCGGCGTCGCCAGCTGCGAAGAGAATGGTGCAAACACACCTGGACCCTTTTCTGGCCAACCCCTCCGTCTTTGTTCCCTGCTATCTTCGCTTTTGCATATCCATCCTCTCCACCCTCTCCACCAAGAGATCTCTTTGCTACCCAGTCCCATAATTCCTCGATATAGAGGATGTCCGTCCCAGAGGTGTTCTCCTAGTGACTACTGTTTCCAGTGCTGTTCTCCGTGCCGCCGCTCCTCTCATACAATCCCCCCACCCTACCGCGCCACTACTTTTCTGCCTACGAACTTTTTTTTTCTTTTTTAATTTTCTTCCTTCCCCTCCATCTTTGCGACGCGCCCACCATGCTCGGATCTCTCTAACACATATACCCAAAAGGCCTCGTTTCTGTGCCTTTACGTCGAGGGCAAGCGACCAACCCCGAAGGCGACTTGAGTGCTCGGCTCTGTGTCGCAGCGGGTATTTTCGGAGATAAGGCGAATCTCTTTCCCCTTTGGACGTTGGTGGACCCTCGCGATTCGTATATACCTCTTTGCCACCCGGAGATTTCTTGAATCGATTCTTCACCGGCGCGCGGTCGGGAAAGAACAGGGAAGGAAAAGTTTGGAACTTCCCTTCCCTTATTTCTGCCCGGAACTCGACTAGTAAACTCGGGCTGTTCCGAGTTTACCTACCCTCCACATGACAACCACCCGGATCGGCCATCCTGTCATGGCAAACCGCCAACTCGAGCACCGGCCTGTTCAGAATAGTGCTGTCTTTGTTCCCGGCGTGGACCAATTCGCTGCCGTACCTCCTCCGTCGCCTCCGTCCCCTTCGGTACACCCATCCACGGCGGTGTATCTTTGCGATCAGTTCGAGGAGCTTGATTTGAAGCAAGTAGGCCGGCGCTTGAGCCGGCACGCAACGAATGGCGTGGCAGAACACCATGCCTCCTTGGAGAAGAGGCTCCACGGCGCCCTTCACGTCCTTAATACCGAGGCCACGGCTCTGAGATATATCACACGTCTCTATGAGAGCGATCCTGTTGCGCGGGACGGGTTTTGCATGACAATTGAGGTCATAACGAGGCATAATGCCGAGAAGGGGAAGTTGATAATCATCGGCGTGGGCAAGTCGGGCCTTATCGCCAAGAAGCTTGTGGCTACGTTCAACAGTCTAGCGATCCCTACCATTTTTCTTCACCCGACCGAGGCTCTGCACGGTGACCTTGGCGTTATCGGCCGCCATGATACCATCATGTTCATTACATATTCCGGAAGGACGCAGGAGCTCCTAGGTCTTTTACCACACATTGACGCCTCTTTACCTGTTATACTCCTCACTTCGCATACCCGGCCGGAGGGATGTGATTTTATACGTCTACGACCTGATACGATCCTCCTGCCGGCACCAGTGCACGAGTCGGAAACTACATCGTTCGGAGTGCCGGCTCCGACGACGTCGACTACTGTTGCGCTCGCTGTGGGAGACGCTGTTGCGATAACGGCGGCCAAGGAGATTCACAGCAACGTCACCCGTGTCTTCGCGAAGCATCACCCCGGCGGAGCCATTGGAGCGGCGTATAGACGACCCGAGACCACGCGGGATATTGCGTTACCGCTACACGAAATACCCCTTTTCGAAGCGCGCCAGCCGGCAACGGGCGCCGACGTCCTCAAGGCGGGATACGCGTCTAAGTGCGGCTGGGTCAGACTCAAAGATGGCCGCGTGGCCTCTCCGAGCAGGATAAAGGACCTCGGGAACGAGGAGCTAGTTGCGCGGCTTGAGCACGTCGCTGGGCTGTTTGTGACCCGCGATGACATGCTGTCCATATGTGGGAGCACAAATCTACGACGGGCTGTGGACTTTGTCGTTAGCAACATGAAGCAGGCTTCGAATGACGGAGAGGACGTGTGCAACTCGAGGACGGTCCTAGCAGTTCTAGAGAAGGGGGAGATAATGGGGGTGTTAGAGGTTGGGGAGCTTCTCAATTGGAATGAATCATGACACATGGCAGGCGGCACTCTTGACTACCTTTTTTTTGGTTTGCTATAGTTTTTTCTCTCTTTTTTCTTTTCTTTTTTTTTTTTTTTTTTTTTTTTTTTTTTCTTTTTCCTTTTTTCTTGTCCTAATCTCCTTGTCTCACATTTGCATATATATATATACTTGCCAGTATGGATTTGGCAAGGATTTGAAAAAGATAGATGGCGGCTTTTTTATTCGTCTTTTTTAAGACCATTCATCATGGGCTAATTGTCCTCATCTGGGCGCTGGCATGGAACGGGGAATTGGGGGGGGGGAGGGGGCTAAACCCCTCTGTTTTGTTTGTTGTTTTGCACTTGTTTCTTTTTAATTTTTAGGGGCAGCATTCTTATTTCCTAGTTCGGGTTACGTCCTTCAAGTCTATATTCAGAACTGGCTGAATCTAGGACGGCGGCCGAAGAAGAGTTTGGCCATCATCAGTGCTCAAGAGGACGTTTTTTGTTTTCCCCCTTTTCATTTTTAAGCCCTGCGGAACTTTTGGTGGTTACGCCCGAAAAGTTACGAAGAAGAAGAAAAGGGAGAAAGAAAAGAAATACAGTCCCCCGACCCCGAGTGCGCAAAGGGTGGAATTCGTACTTGCCAACAAGGTGTTTCAATCTCCTCCTCCATGGACAGAGCGGAGAGCCTGCCTGGCACTTCTTGGCGATGGATGGAGAATTATTAATAGGGCTGGGTCCTCATCGCCGTTGTCGGACCTGCGCTAATGTTTTGGATGGACAATGCCCCGCATGGGTTTTGATGCAATGGGGATCTCGACTCAACTCCGAAGCCAGTCTATGACTCTAGCATTAATAATTGATGTGAGGGCGAAGACCCGACCGGACTGGAACGATGTATCCGGGGTTGATGTTCATTGCCGAGTCGTGAAGGGCCACCCCTTTTAGCGTCTTGAAGTGCTAGGCTTTTGACATCCTAGAGGAAGGAAAGAAAAGAAGAAGAAAAACAATGCCAAAAGAAAGAAAAACGAAGAAGAGTAATGAGAAGGAAAAGGAGGATTGGCCTTCCAATTCTCGTGAACGGCCTACAATTGTACGAAAATTGCATCTCGGCATAGCATGAGGTTTTCTCGATGGCGTTAGTTGATACCACTCGGGTACTAAACCGCTCCTCTTTAGTACCCTAAAAGTTCGCACCCGCCGCAAGTCTTCAATGGTATAAGTCAGAGAGAGGATTGCTCCCTCTTCTTGGATTTACTTGATGTCAAGAGCTTATCGTTATCGGTGTGTGCTGATAACGCTGCACAAGTGTGGAGGGGGAATTTTGCAACCCCGCGGAAGCTACGCAATACAGTCGACTAAATGGTTAGGCACTGTAAATTCACGCTAAATTTGTCGAAGAATATACTGTGTTTTTATACATAATTCGCACAGTTACCCCGCTGACTCGGTATGACTAAACGCGCAAAACCTCGACTCTCATTGCTCCACTGAATTCCCACTAATGCTGATCCTTGCTCACTAAACGGGCCACTACAAGCTCATGAACATGCTTCTTTACAAACCACCCCCGCCAGGTTTCTCATTTGCAGGGGGAATAAAGCCGACTTTTTCAACCTCGACGAAGTACTTCAGTGTCAGGTTTGCCACTTCCTCCTCCAGACTAAACATTTTTTTCCTGCCAATATCAACTTCATCTCTTTTTCACTTTGGCGTTCTTTCGGTTCTTATTTTCCTCTTCTCCATTTTCGGGCAGTTTGCTCCTCAAAACTCATCCCCCAATCTCATCGATTCCGTCGAAAAAGGGACCCAATCCCGCAAACCAACGAAAACCTTCAAAAATCTAGTCAGTCAATCCGCGACCGGAGACCATCCACAATGGCGCCAGGCCTCATCATCGACAACACCCCCGACCTCGACTTCACCCCCTTCCCCACCAAATCCCTCCCCCCCAAGCTTGGACCCACCACCACACAGCAACGAACCCTCCTCCTCGCGGCGCCGTCCCTCGCCTCCAACGAAGCCTCCCTCCGCGCCGCCATAGCGGGCCACGACCGCTCCACCTCCGACCTGCACATGCTCGACCGGCTCTCGGCGGGGCTCGTCAACCTACCCGCGTCAACCTACGATCTCGTGCTCGTGCTGTCCGACGATGCGTCGCTTCTGGACCGCGGGGTGCTCACGAGGGTGCATGATGCGCTGAAGGCGGGGGGTAAGGTGAGGGCGAGGGATGGGGTTGAGATTGGCGGGGAGGCGGAGAAGGAGTTTGTTTTGGCGGGGTTGGTGAGGAGTTCGGGGGAGAATGGGTTTGAGAAGCCTGATTATGGGAGTGAGGCGGTTGTGCCGCTGAGGTTGAGGAGGAAGAAGAAGCCCGTTGTCGTGGAGAAGGTGGAGGAGGTCAAGAAGGTGCCTAGCGGGGTTGGATTTGTGAATCTCGATGACCTGGACGGGGACGATGATGATTTGATTGACGAGGATACCCTCCTCACGGACCAAGACCTCAAGCGACCTCTCAACATCCGTATGTTCTCCCCCTCACCCTCCCCTATTTCCTCCTCCCTCTCCCTCTGCAGATCCTTTCCCTCTTCGTCCTCCCAAAATTCTAACCCATCTCTCTCACAACAGCCGCCGAATGCCTCCCCAAAGTTGGCAAACGCCGCCGCGCCTGCAAAGACTGCTCCTGCGGCCTCGCCGAACGCCTCGCAGCCGAAGAAGCCGACCGCCAAGCCGCCGCCGACGCCAAGCTCCGCGAACAAGTCGTCAAGCTGGGCGTCAACGACCTCGCCGAGGTCGACTTCACCGTCCAGGGCAAGGTCGGGTCCTGCGGGAACTGCTCCCTCGGCGACGCGTTTAGGTGTGATGGCTGTCCTTATATTGGGTTGCCGCCTTTTAAGCCTGGGGAGGAGGTTAGGATATTGAATGATGTTGTGCAGTTGTGAGGGATGGGGGGAGACACAGCACGAGGATACCCTTCTTTTCTTTTTTTCTTTTTCTTTTTCTTTTCTTTTTTTTTTTAATGAGGTTTTTGTTTTTGATGAAAAGGAGCATGCATGGAACCCTGGTTAGGGAAAATAGGTTGGAAGGATTCAAGGAATTGAAATGAAAGGAAAGTCTTATTCGGAATAGAGAGACAGAAAAGGGCAACTATGGAACTAGGAACATTCAAGAGGGAAAAGAAAAAATAAACCCCTTCAATCTTCGTCATCTTGACCTTCATGTCTTACATTTCCAGTGTTGTTCTGTGTGGCCTGATGGCTTTCATGGTTGTGAAATCAGAGCAAGTTGTGATGAATATATAGATCTTCTATGTACTAGATAGATTCCCTAGCTATGTTATGCCCAACCAAACTCCAACCCAAAGACGCCGAAAAAAGATGAAAAGGAAAACTCCTTCTCAAAAAAGCAACCTCAAAAAAACATCATGGTACAAGGAGTCGCACCATTCCAATGCGGCTAAACATCGAAGATCTCTCTCTCGAAACCCCCTACTTCTCCCATCTCACCTCTCCAAGGACGCACTCGACGCCGATGACCCCTCAACCCCACGCTTCTCCTCCTTCCCACCACCATTGTTCTCCCCCTCCTCCTCATCACTATCCCCACCAATACTATACCGATCCTTCGCTTCCGTCGGCGTCACAAGATGCAACTCATCCAACTCGCTCTCATCGAAATCCCCGGCCTCAACGTCCCTCTCCCGTCCGCCTCCTCTCCGCGTCCTAAACGCCTCGAGACCCGAAGCCGCAGCGCCGCCGGCACCACCACGACGGCGCGGGGCTCCACCGACAGGTCCGCCGGGGTTGGTCTCGAGCCCGCGGTAGCCCCTGCGCTTCCGGCGTTCGCGCCAGACGTAGTAGCCCCAGACGCAGAATCCGACGGAGGCGAGGACGAGGACGATTTCGCCCGAGCGGCGGTACGCTTGCCATTTTGCGTCCTGGATGGCCTTTTCCTGCTCGTCGTCGGTTTCGGGGGAGGATGCGGGCGAAGAGGAGGAAGAGTCCGCCGGCTTCTTGACGGGCGGTACGGAGGTCTGGGGTCCCTTTTCGCCGTCTAGACGGCTATCGGTGGCCTTTCCGCCGATGCTGCTAATGTCGACACCCATGAAGCGGTCGAGCATGTCGCGCGAGCGCCGCGACTGGTCAAATGGCACCATGTGCGAGGCGTTGTAGAATAGGACGTACGTGAGGTTCCGCGCCTCCTGCCAGAATCCCGCAAGCTCGCCCTCGAAGGTCCAGTCGCGGCGCGGTGCCCATGTTCCGGGCGTGACTTCGAACCCTTTACCGCCGTTCCACTCGAGGTTTCCGATGAAGGCCTCGGTGCCTACGTGGTTGCAGATGAGGTCGTCGGCGCCCGAGAAGAGCAGGATGGGGACCTCGGCGAGGATTTCGGGCAGGAGCTCGGCAGAGGCGTTGGATTCGCGGTTCTGGAAGGCGCGGCCGACGCCGTTGGAACATTCGGTCCACCCGGATGACTTGTGGCTGTTGACGTGCAGGGCGGCCACGACGTCCTTGTGCCGGAGGTAGGGTTCGACGTTCTTGAGATCGGGCGGCCAGTTCATGCCGCAGGCTGGGTAGAGATCCTTGAGACGGATGTCGTACATGTTATAACATTGCTTCTGGCCCTTGGGGTTGAGGTCGGTGGTCATCTCGAGGATGTTGCGGAGGATGGTCTCGCACTCGGCGTAGTCGACTCGGCCGGGGTCGGTGGCTATCCGCGATTCGCAGATGCGCCATTGTTGTTGGAGCTTTTCGGCGTCGGAGCTGTCCTTTTTGATGAGGTCGCGCGCGTAGGAGAATTGGAGGTATGATTCGTACTGCTCCTTGGGAGCGATCCAGCCGTTTCCGATTAGTAGACCCTTTACGTTCCATGGCGATCTTGTGGCGGGTTTCTTGTTGCGGTCGAGGATGGCCTTGGCGATGTAGGGTATATGCTGGCCTGCGTAAGATTCGCCGGCAAAGTAAATCTAGAGAGGGTCAGCGTCGAGGGACATGGACACAGACACGCAAGCAAGGCCCTCCACTCCTCTGTGTTTCCAAAACTTACATCATCTTGCTCGTACTCGGGGAAAATAGCAAAATACTTTTCCAAAAACGTCACAAACTGATTCGCCATCTCCGTCAATTCCGTCACGTAGCTATTCGTGCTGACGAAGCTGTATCCCGTCCCGACGGGGTTGTCGACGAAGAGGAGGTTCGCAAACTCGCTCCACGAGCCCTCGTTGTAGGAGAGCGTCAGGTCGTCGTTGACGCGGTAAGGGCCGATCTCCATCAGGGCGCCGTCCTCGGAACTGCAGCCGGGCCCGCCGTTGAGCCAGATGACGGTTCGCTGTTTGTTGGCGATGTGTTGGTTTTGGAAGTGCCAGAAGAAGAGGTTGCCGTTGGTCTCGGGTGTGATTTCGATGTGTCTGGCAGGGTAGAAACGGGGCATGTTAGTTGATGGGAGCTAATGATAACAACTCCGAAGAAACGGAACGGAACGTACCCGGCATGCATCTTGATGGGAGGTTCGGCGGGTGCTCCAGGCAGGTTCTGGACAAAGTAGTCGGCGGCGGACTGTCCGAGGACGAGGGCCGGCAGCGAGAGGGCCGTGACGGCGGCACCGAGGCGGCGTAGGGCTGAAACGGACGGCCTCGACTTCATTGTGGCCTAGATCGAGGTCGCTAATGATAAGGAGTGGTCGTTCGAGGATTTAAAGGAGGCGAGAGAAACGACCCATCAATCACCGCGCAAGTGGCTGGCGAGGAGGGACGTGTTTGGAGGCTGTCAGGTGTCCAACATGGAAGAGTGAAGTTGACAAGGGGCAAAAAAAGAAAGATCTAGATGAACTATAAAATTCAAGGGCTTTCAAACGGAGCCGAAGCCAAGGGAAAATGAATGGAAGAGGAGATCTATGAAGGGAAAGGCTCGTCGTGGAGAAAAAGGGACGGGATTGCTTAATGTGGACAGTGAAAGGTGGCCTTGGAGATGTTCAATCCGCCGTCACCATCGTAGTAGTGCAGCAATGTAGCATTACGGAGGACAGCGTTGTGTAAATCTTGCCGTCTGACGCGCACGCTCCAGGTTGAGCAGTGGAGCGGACTGCGAACAGTTAACGGCACCTGTATGCATCTGTAACAGGCTGATCGCAGATGACGCAGGGACGACTCCGTATGGTGGCTGAGCACGAACCTGCAACACAAACGTCGAGTCGAGAGGATTGATGCATCAATTGATCGATGATCTCTGGGTCTTTGACCATAACTCGCCTCGTGTGCCAGTCTGCCGTTTAAGCTGGAGCCCAATAGACTCAACAAGAGGCTCGGATTGTACAATTGTGTCTTCAAATTGTTCCTCCATTGTCTGGACATTGCTGACTAGGGCCACCTCTAATCTGTCTCTGCGGTGCAACTGTAACCGATCATCGCCATCGATTGTGATCATCGCGGGAAGATTTGATCGACGGTGGTGAGGTAGATACACTTCATAAGAACTCCGTCGCAGTATGTGCCGCATCCTCTGCCGGGCTTATAGAGAGTAAAGCTGATGCTAGAGAAGAATTTACGAAGGAGAAACCAAATCGTCGGCAGAGTAGGCAGCAAGGGAGGCGTCCAGACCAACATACGAAAGCTATCTTGAGAGAAAGCCAACTAATATCGCTGAAACGAGCAAGATAAGTTGAGGAAAGATACAGGTGAGATTGAGCCAAAAAACCAAAAAAGAAGATGCCCCCCCTTTTTCCGCCGAAAAAAAATCGATCAAAGATATGTTCTTATATTATCAACCAAGAATTCCAGTCTGGACATCACCTGGCGCTGGCCTCGGCAGCTTGTCCAGGTCAATGTCCTTTGCAGCCTCCTTCGCCTTCTCTACATCCACCCCCAAGTCTTCGAAGAGCCTCTCAAGTATGGCATATCGGCGCATGGCAAGGCCGACAAAAAGTGGATTGAGCTCGTTTGCTCTTGCCTTGATTTGCATCCAGTAATGAGAGCCAAGCCAACGGAGGTCGGCCGAGTCGTGAAATTTGGCTCGTTGAGATGCGGCTCGGAGCTTCCCCTTAAACAGGTAAAACGGGTCGAAGAAGGATGAATCTCCGGGTCCCAGAGACTGGCCATTCACCGATCGTACATTGGTGGAAATGTCGGCCATGGAATATCGTGCGCCTTACTCTGGTATTAGCGCGAAGGGGAAATCCAAGCATGTACACATACGAAGAGGTAAGGGGGGAAGAAGGCCCTTACCTGGAAACTGTTCGCAGAAGATTTCCACGAGCACTGCGTGCTTGCGATCAGGTTGATCAGACCACAAAAAGGCAACGTAGTCTTCTCGGGTCTGCGGGATCACCGAAAACCCATCGACACCATCGAGAAGCTTAACTGCTTGTTCTTTGGTGACTGCAGCGAGGCAATCGATATCCTTACTCTCGCGGGGTCCACCCATGACGGCGACTGCATATCCCCCGAAGATACCGAAGTGAATTTGAGCATTGTCCAAAACGCGGCAGAGGGCGATAGCCGCATCATTGAGTCGGTCTTGGATCATATTTGGAAGTTGAGTGAAGGCAAGGCAAAAGGGAAAATATTCATAGAGACAGAGGGAGGCAAATCTTCTAAGAGGGAAGACTTGAGTGCGTATGCCAAGGAGGTGCTTGCAAGGTGCATCGAAGGCGAGGGGCATTAAGTATTGCTTTTGGAGGGGGAGATCCGTTCCACACCTCCAGGTCCATATCTTGGGCCAACAGACGGCCATCACCCAAGGCCATCCCCCCACTACAACGCTGCGACAACCGTGTCTGCGACCTTAGCGGCTAGGTGGTGGGTTATCCCAGTTAAAACTGTTACCACTGAGTCAGATTCCAATCAGCGGCTAGCGGGCGAATGAGCGCTACGCTCACCCAAACGCCGGCCATAAGGGGAGGCAGGAGGGATAAGATGAAGTGGCACGATCAGTAGTTTGATGTTCTCCGGTCAACGGCCGGATGCGCAAGGAACAGGTTTTACAACCCTACCTCGAGAGTTTCGAAGCCGGGAATGTTGCGAAGGGCTTCTGCTTCGTCTTCGTTTGCCACGAAACAGGTAACAGTGTTACCGGACAAATCATCGAGACGTGAGGCCTTCCCATGAATTAATTGCCTTGCCAACTCCTGCACATCCTGCTCAGCGGAGGCGATGTTTTTCGTCACCCAATTCTGATCGAGGTTCATCCCGTCAACAAGTTGCTCTGCCGCAATCATCGCAACGTCGTCGCCAAGGTCCAGATAGCGCCTGCATAGCCCGGCAAAGTAGGGGCCGAGACACGGCATTGGTATGGCGTTGAGGTCGTTAGAAGCCACAACGTCCAGGATTTGCTTACTGTAGCATGCGCTGTCTAAGGGCTTGATATTTGGGACAACCGATTCCTCGAGTGGTCGCAGGCCAAAACTGGTGTCCGAGAAGATGACCAGGCCTAAATGAGATGAGGACCAAGACGTAGCGCGGAGCCTGGGATATCCCTTCTTGTATTCTGTGAAGAGGTTGAACTCGCCTAGCGGAGATGGCTCAAACAAACCCGTAGAGCAAAGAAGCTCGGCAGCTTTGGAGACCTGGTCATGAGGGACGCATATCTCGATGTCCTACAGTCGTTGGGAATTAGTCCGTAGGCCGCCCTTGGCGACACATGGTCAGGGCCCTGGGGGCGCTGGAGGTGACTTACGTGGATGGCACGGGGGACATTGTAGTAGTTTAGCGCCAGCTCACCGACGGCGCAGGCGCGGATCCGACTGTGGGCGAGGATTGCCAATGCAACCTTGATCAATACTGCTTCCATGGTATTTTTTTTTTCTTTGTTGGAAAAGGTGTTCGAGCAGGAGATTGGGAAAGGGATAAAGAAGAATCGACCGACGTGAGACATAGAGCGAGAGTTGAGAGCTTAAGAGTGGTTTCAGAGAGCCACGCTCTATTATGAACAGGAATGTGATTGGCGTGTCAATGCCATCCACAGGCGGCGGCTGCCCTGGCCAATCGGCCAATAACATGAAGTTTACTTGGGGCACAGGTGACCCGGAGCCTGGGCCTGGCAGTGGTCAATCTTGGCACAGGCGTGCTGCTTGCTGGCCAGGCCGGAGTCCGTTCCTCTCTCTACTGAGTCTGGTGTGCACTACCATCTCCTGTCCTGCGTCGTCCTGCACTTCGTAACGGTGTCACCGCAAGCGTGGCGCTAACGTCTCGACCCGCGCCGCATCCTTGAGCAATTGCAAATAGGCTTGGATCAATACCCATCAATACATTGATTCAATTTGATATGAAGTCGATTGAGACCTGAGACTCGCATACTGACACAACTTACCCACCTCAAGAGCTGACACGAACTGGCGGGAATTGAATTATCATGCGACCGGAGCCGCGACAAAGTGCTTGATGCTATATTCACATCATTCAAGCCCCATCCACATCCAGCATCTCCCAAGCCTTCGTGTCGGCCTGTCCTGCTTGAATGGTTCTTCAAACGACTGCCAACGGCTGATCTCAGCGACATGAAGCAATACCTTTCACGGCTCAAGTCAAGCATCTCATGGGATGCCTTAAGACAACCCTGGTCGTCGAAATCTGACCAAGGATCATTCCAGTTCATGTCCGACCTTCACCTCGAAGTCGGCCAGCAGTACGCCGCCTTCGATTTCCCCGTCACTGCTCCCCACCTCATCCTAGCTGGCGATATCGGCCGCCTCATTGACTACGACCCCTATCTCCAGTTTCTCGCCCGCCAAACCGCGCGGTATAAGCGTGTCTTCCTCGTTCTAGGCAACCATGAATTCTACGGAATGACCTTTGACGCCGGAATATCTACTGCGCAGAAACTGGCGGAAGAACCTCTGCTAGAGGGGAGGCTAACTCTCCTTCATCGAGAGAGGCAAGATGTCGCCGATGGTACAATTGCCGTCTTGGGCTGCACGCTTTGGTCGCGCATCCCGGAAGATGCCGCAGACGCCGTACGCGGTAGAGTGAAGGACTTTCAAAAGATCAAAGATTGGGGGATAGAGAACCACAACGAGGCCCATGAAACAGATCTAAGCTGGCTGAGATGCACGCTTGATTCGGTTTCAAAGGAAGGAAGTGGAAAGGCTATCATCGTGGCCACGCACCATGCGCCGTCGATTCTTGAAACATCGAGGCCGGAACATCTGGACAACCCATGGACCTGTGCTTTCGCGACCGATCTTTTGGATGGATCTTCTGCGGACTGGGGCCATGTCCAGTGCTGGATCTACGGACATACGCACTACTCCACGGATTTCAAAAAGGAAAACGGCCTTAGGGTCGTTAGCAACCAGCGGGGCTATGTCCTTCCAGGGACGAATGTACCTGTTGGCGGGAAGAGTGATCCCAGTAAACACGCATTTGATGCGACGAAGACCATTCGTGTAGACATTAGATGAGAGAGATGATGATTTCTATCATTTAATCTGATATGGTAAAGGGGTAGCAGGTTCCAACATTCCAACGGCATTTCCCACGCATATATCCCCAAGGTAAGCCTCCAAACCATGACATCTCATCCCCATAAGGGCACGACATGGCACGATCCGAGCAAGAGAGCTGGAAGAAGATTGAAAGGACGAGGAGCAAAAATAAAAGAAAAGAGATTTTTGAAGAAGACGCAAAAAACATACAACACCAGGGATTCGCTGGTCGTCACCGACCCAACTACTAGTCTGGCGCTTCGCAGCTTGTGTACAGGGGAGCGGACGGGACCCTCAATTCTCTGCGAGCTATGGTCGTATGTGCCAGCTTCGCGCCGGTATCCAGTTTATAAAAGGTCCGTCAAAGGAAGAAGCCATGAGTGTTGATTGAACGTCTTTGTGTTGACGAACTTGGTGATTAGGAGACATTCATCAGCACAGTGCCAACCCAATATCCCGCTTTAAAATTCATCGATTCAACTTCATCCCGCTTTACTTACTTGGACGGAGAGTCACTCAGTAAAGTTTTTCATTTGATCTCAAGGCCACTCCTTCAACTCGTATATCTTTTTAAATACAGCTCCTCACAAGTCCCAAACCAGCACCTGAAAATCTCTTGTATTAGTCTGCAATATCGAATATCTCTCCTTCCCCCCCACCATGGCCCAAGACCCCTCCACGCGGCGTCCGACCTACATCGTCGAGCATCTCGACCCCGAACTCGGGCCCTGGTCAGAGCTCGAATACATCGCAATCGCAAAGGAATCTCACGCCGCCGGATGCACCTTCTGCCTCTCCTCGCTCCCTCCCACTTTCAAGACCCCTCCGTCTCTAGCCGCCGAGCCCGCCTTCAAGTCGGACTCGAGGAGCGTCGAGGAACTGTACGGCGATGACAAGTCGCGCGTGTGCTTGTTGGACCCGTCGGCGGCGAAGGACTTGAGTCCTGAGGATGGAAAGACGTTTGATGTGTTCTTGTTTGGTGGTATCTTAGGTATGGAAGTTCCCTCTGGGGTGCTGCGTCGTCCCGGGTAGAAACTAGGTGCCGATGCTTTTGCGCCGTTTGAGGGAGCCGTTAAAGCTAACTTGCGAATAGGAGACGACCCGCCGAGAGGTATACATCTTTGCGGTATGAATTTCTATGTTATCGGACGTTGCTGACGAAGTGGTGCTTCAGACCGCACATCTGAGCTCCGTGAAAAGGGCTTCGAGGGACGCCGACTTGGTCCTAAGCAGATGACTACAGACACAGCTGTCCGCGTCACAAGAATCGTAGTCCAAGATAAGAGTACGTAGTCGTCAGCAGCTTACCACCCATTCTCTAGAACGATAGAGGGAGAAAGGGAGAGCTAACATCCTTGCCCTTTCGCTCACTTCGCAGTACCGCTTGACAAGATCCCATACGACGACTTCCCCGAGCTCAAGTTCAATGAGCACGAGAGCACCGAGATGCCCTTTCGTTACGTCAAGGGCGAAGACGGGAAGCCTATCATGCCAGAGGTGAGCTCCGCTTCTTCTCCTTCTTCTCTTTTCCCCTTCTCTATTCCATTCCCTCGCGTGGCTCTAATTCTTGATATTTTTGCCCTTCTCCACAGGGAATGGTGGAACTCATTGGAAAGGATGCAGACAAGGCCATCGATGACTTGTTTTAGGTCGAGAACCTTTACACACTCCCATAGAAAGGAAGCAAGAAGAAAAGAAATGAAAAAAAAAAATGAAATCTGGATACACACGTCGTCGCACAGTCCAGTCGTCTACGGTTTCCGTAAGAACCCGCCTCGTTTTTTTCTGGAATGATGCGCCCACGAGGTATGACAACATCATCGGCTCCCACGGGATCTCGGAACCCACGATATCCTCGAAATTTGGACCAACCACCATTATTGGACGGAGAATTATGCCTTAAAAACACTTTCTATCCATCGACTGACTGGAATCCTCCATTCTACTCCCACTACATGAACTAGTTGATGTTGTGTTCACAGCCACGTCACTTCAAGGCGCCCACGCTCGGTAGCACTATAACGTGATTATCCGGTTCGGTCGGGGTTGTTGAGAAAAGAGACTGATCACTCAACAAGAGCACATCTTCGTCCCATCCCTGAGCTTCGAGTTGAACGCGTTTTAGCTGTTCGGAAAGTTCCACGATAACCTCACTTACCGGCATGATCCTTCCCTCAACCGTTCCACGACGTCCCCGAAAATACCCGACAAGAAGCTCGAATTACACACCCCCGTTTAACCTCTTGCCCTACGCGCTCAACAAGGACAGATTATACACCCGTCATGCGTCCCGTACGATCGTAGCATATGCTTTGGCTTTGGGTCCTTATAGGGCCGTAGTACCCTCTCCCTAGTACACTTGTTAGGGTATCACGACGATGATGGCGTCCGATGTGATCGAGATATATTCGGGCAATTTTATCTGCCTGGATGTGTACGATTTGATACTGAGAGAAGAACGATAAAGAGAGGGCTTCTTATGACAGAGTGGCCTTTTTTCCATGTAAAACATAATTTCGGATAGCTCATCTGGTTTACGGGTTGTTCGCCTACATCCACTCCCTATCACTAACAGTGACGCCCAAGGTTCATATCGACTATTTCTCCTCAAGATTTTGAGGTCAAAAACCACACCTTACTTAGGAGCACAAGATGACCGAAAACAACCTTCACATGACGCGTCGTCTAGCACCGAACAACTCCCAAGTGTCTCTTCCCCATTCTCCCTCGGATGATGAGAGGCATGTAGATTCCACATTCGCCACCTTGGGTTGCACGGCATTGTTTTGTTCCGTTGGGCTGCTATTTTTCTTCGCTTCGTGCCGTGATATATCTGTGATACGCTCGGGATGTGACCTCACGTACATGTGTGCAGGTGTGGCTACGTAGAGAATTGGAGGAGGGATGAACGAAAGACAGGGTCTGGAAATTTTGTGTCGAGTAGAGAGAACTCCCGTCTTCAGCCTTATTCCCATCGGAACATCGAGGATCAACGCCGAGGCTCGGTCTTAGTTAGGTAGGCATCCAAGCGGTTCTTTTGCGAGACGGTCATCCATCCGAACTTAGAGGTATGGGGAAGTAGGAAGACAAGAAAGGAGACAAAAGACTCCACTGGGTTTTCTATCCCTGGAATGATAATAACTAGCTCCTATCATCTTGCATCTCTTCACATACGAGGTAAGGTGAGTACCCGGGATGCGCCTTTCCCTGCGAGGTTGGGCAATGATATGTAGACGAGTAGGGATCGCTTCACCTCGCTCTCCAAGATGGACTCTAGCCCATTCTGCCATCGTAGCCGTACCCCTCCGGTTACTTCAACTAGATCCTGACTTCGTAAAAGTAGGCTAAATCCTGCCTTCCCTCGCAGGCAACATCGACAAGCAAGGATTCGTGACACAGCCGCGAGGGCAAGCATGGATTGGGCATCAACCAACCCGCTCGGCGGTCGATCCGTCTACACTCGCTGACTGTGTCCCAAGTTAGTCTTGGGTACTTTCGCTTGCGTGGAATGAAAAGCCTCTCCTTCGGAATGCTGAAATAGAAAGATGAAGGGGCAAAGTTTGACGTACGTGGAGGGGATCCATGCCATTTCATTAATGTGGAAATAGAAAAGGAACTTATTCGGAAACGAGCAGAACCAGTCGGCGGCCTTCCGTTACATAGAACCCGAGGTACACTGCAGGATGTAAAGAAGCTTATAAGCTTACGGCTACATGCCGTCGAGACGAGCATGAGCTGAAGGAAAATCACCGTAAGACAGCATGAGCAAAGCATTGTTCGTGTTAGATGCGGTGTAAGTCGACGCCACCATGATTCTTCCCGAAATCCTCACAGCTTGCGTAGTCTTTTGTAAAGGGTTAGGTACCGGGTATCGCGTGCCGCTGTCGACTGTGTCACCGCATAATCCTGATCCAGACTACATTGCTGCTTTTTGGAGGCAAGGGACTGTAAAATTGAAGACAATTACGGCTTGATGAATTCGAACCAAGTCCCCAGCTTAAGCGATTCTTTGAGGCCCATCCGAACGAACTGTTACAGCAGTGACAAGAACAGTTTATCATGTTGTCATGAGGTCAGGACTTGAAACTACCCGGGAAGAATCCCTAACTTGACATCCAGAAGCAAAGTCTTCAAGCGATAGAAAGCGCCGTTTGATCGTAGCCTCGCCTCCAGCACTGCAGCACTGCAGCCAAAGAGGTCTAACCTCTACCGTCTTGGGGGACATGGAAAGTTTTATCACCGAACATCGCTTAGTTTCTTAGGGCCGCTAGGATCGCCCATCGGGATCACCCGTAGGAAACCCGGTCTCCCATCCATGAACTCTATTAACGACGGGTTAGGAGTAGGAGTTCCCCAGCCTGCGTCGTTGGCTTGCAGAGAATTGCAGAGCTCGAAGCGGGGAAAACAGGACAGGCAGTTTCGATGGCTCGGAAATGCCCTGTCGCTAAGGCCGTCCTCGAGAGTCATCAGACTAAGCGCCAGAGAAAAACCACCAGAGGCAGTTTACAGGCTCGGCTAAATTGGTTCCTGCAAGTTCAACTTGTTAGATTCTCAGTTTGAAGTCATTACAAACATGTTTGGTCGTCCTTGCATGCACAAGCGAAGCTACAGAGTATGTCTATATGGGTCACAACGTTGAAGGAAACTTCCGGGGGGGAAGAGAGCAAAATCGCTGAGGTGTGGTTAAATGTTGGATGGTCGCGCCATGGTCGAAATTGAGTGCCGTGGGTTGGAATCGAATGGTACGGTTCTAGAACGTCTGACGGTGATGTTCGGCGGTTCTTGTCCCGGATTTCGGACGAGCTGGATGGAGCTGTAGAGTCGTAATAGAGCTAGAGAAGCCGAACTCCTGCTTTCATGATTTGTGACGCCGATCCCTCCCTCGAATCTTGGATACAACCTCGCTAGTTCAGTGGCGATGGTCAAACCTGGGATGATACATTCGAGGATTTTTTGGTGATTGAAATGATGGAGCTACGCCGACCATCCCAGGTTATCGGATGCGTGGCGGAATGCTAGGGAGATGCGGCCGGCCAACCGACAGATGGGAACATCAGTGGTGAACAGGATTTAGGAACAAAGGCAGGGCGCAGGACGAAGGAAGGTGAAGCTACATAGGTGACACCGGAGCCGGATCCCAATCCTGACCCGGCAGAGGACGAAACAACGATCTAGGTTTCCACTCGCTTGCTACAGCGAACGATGCTGCGCCAATTGATGTTGCGCTTCGGCGAATCGCATTAATTATATTGTTAGAACTGGTTGCTGCGACCGCTTGCTCGCTGTCTGGCAGTGCGGCGTTTCTAATCCCCTGGCTCGTCTTCGGAGACATTGGTTGACCAAACGTCAACCGATAATATTTTCTAGTCCTAGGCGTCTCAAGACTGTGAGCCGACGCATTTCAGAGAAGGGGAGGGGGTGGACGGGTCTCGGCTCTCGAAGGATGATGCCCGATTTGTCGTCCGACGAAGCTCCACCGCCCCAGTGGAATCATCAGAGGATGGAACAGAGCTGTGGAAGGAAGAAGGAATCAAAAATGCAGGGAAAGCCCCAGTGATGAGCTAAAAATGGGATGAAACTGATGCCAAGAACAGTTCAAGCCACCTGCTGAGATGATGCTGAGAGGGCAGGCTAGTCCAGTCCAAGCCAATTCCCTGGCAGCGCGCCACGAGTCTCTAGAAAAAAGACAATAATGTGAGGCACATCCACCGAATCACAAAACGTGTTGGGGGAATTGTCACATAGGTTAAACTGCCCCGATTAAGAGTAGTAAAGGCTCAACGAAGAGGAGCGTTCTGTATTCAGAGAATGTTTGGACACTCTTGGTGAGGCGGTCGCTCCTTCAGATCATTCAGGGGGCGGCTTACTGAATCTGGCAGCCGCAGCTTCCTTTTTGGAAGACTCCTTTTTGGAAGAAATGCGAAGTACATTAGGAATTATGATGACCACAATGGAGGAAGGCGGGACGGATCGATCTTGATGTACAGTTCCGGTGACGCGAGGCAACTTGTGAGTCTCTCCTCCCTCGTTAAATTACGAGGAGACCGAGCGAGGTAGACTCGCCTGAATACTAGTAGAAAGAGCGAACATCAAATGAAAAACACCTGGCGATCTGGGCCCTTGCGCCGTTACAGAATTTTCGTACTGATACTGATTCCGGATGGCAGTTGCGAGTTTATCATCCCGGCTGCCCATCACATGCCTTCAAGTTCAGAGGCCAGGTTATCAATGTAGATTGCAATGTATCACAATCTGGGAAGGCACGTAGAACTCTTCCCGGAGTGGATGCAGGGAAGGGACAGCCAGGGCAACCCTCAGAGTGTTAGATCAATTGATGCTTCAGCCATTGCCCAGACGTACACAAATGAAGCGAGGCGAACCTGACCCGACCCAGCTTTTCTTTTCATGATTCTATCCCCTTGGAAAGTCGACATCCGACAGAGAGGATGGATCGCCCGCCAGACCTTTAACCCCCAACTACTTCGTACAAGCAGCTCGTTGTAGATTAGCCCCCTGGAAATCCTGGTTACCTCCTCGCCGTCAACCCCCACCAACATCGGGTGCATGATTCTTCCCCATACTTGCCCGCCTCCAAGCCACGCGATCGTCACAACGCGGCTCTCTCGGCCCCGGCTGAAACGGTCAACGATCAGCTTGTACACGGGTACATCTCTCTGACTGGTCGGCGGGGTCGCTTCGGGTCTTCCCACCGACCGAGCTAAGCCACAGAGTTACAGATTCAATGTTGGTCGCTCGACTCCAGAAGAGAAGCAGTTTGCGAGAGCATTGACTCTCACGCGAGTGATTGTGATGGTATTAGTATAATTATTATTGTCACTCGCACGCACGGCGGCACGGAACTAATAAACCCAAGCTTCTTAGAATCGGGCGGATTCCACTTTTCCCCCTTGCCGCCGGCTGTACTATCGAGATGGACAGTTCTATGATGCAGCCCACCCACTTGAAACGTCATGGGCCGCGCAACGCACACGCAGGTGAGGAGCCAATCGCAGCCTCCACAAAGTAGCAAAACTCTGCACGCATTCTTCGGGGACCCTTTGCCAACTAAACTAGTCGACAAACATCGGAGACGCATGCTGCTAACGCCGTACTTGTACATTGATGTGCTCACCTGCATCGGCTGGAGAGAGGACCTTTTCCTGGTACCTGCTTTGGAATCGGCCACTATTTTGCCTTGCTAACCGGGCTTTGCAGATCAATTGGTACCATGGTCAAGATCCTGGGCATACCCTCAAGTGAGCTTCTCGATATTAACGGTTTGCACAATAAAATGACTTCGGCAGCACTTTACGCGCGATCTCGGCAATTCCACCTGCTCCCCGCTTCGCCCTCATGTGAGGGGTCCATGCCCAAAGTTTCTGCAGGATCCCAAGGTTGAGGGAAACGCCAGGGACCTTCTTTGTGCATGTCTAAGGGTATCAGGGAGGCTACATAGCCATGCTCTCCAAGACAACTATTTGCACGGAAGCAGCCTTCATAGAAAACACCTTCTCCCTCCATGCAGCACGCGCCTGCACTCGCGCTTTTCTGAGGTCCACTATGTCTCAACCCCCACAGTTGATTGAAGCCTGCATCGCATCCGAAATGCAGCTTGCAAGGCACAATGGACGTCTTATCTGTTTCTCCCTTTCTTTTTTTCTGCTTCACTTTATACTGTTTTCGGCTGTAGTATCTGGCTTTTGTAAGACGAGTGCACGAGAGCGATCAATTATGCACCTGGACTGGTGAGGTAGTCAGACAACACATCTGCAGTGCATACTGTCTACTTTCCACAGCAAGCTTTCCTGAGACTGCACAATTACAAAATTCCACATTAATGCCTCTGGAAAGGGCGGGACCCGACAGTAGCATCGCACCACAAACTATGTATACTTGTTGCCTCAATTGTTTTCTTTCGCGCCAATCCACTGATCCAAGCCTCCTTCATGGCGCGGGATTTTGGGGACAGTGGTGTGGACTGCCATCCGGCACTCGTGAGAAGCATTGGATGGACTGGATGAAACTCACTTCGCTTGGTCTAGTGGACGGCGTTCTTGACGGACCCAGAATTTGTTTGCTTCTTAACAATCTCTTTCTTCATCGAAGAGAATATGCACATTTCCCTTGCGCAAAATAAGTGAATACGCGAATGCGAAACCTCATGCCGGTCCGGGGCATCCTGGAACAGTCTGTTCTCAACAAGCTTATATTGCTACTCTGGATGAGAATCGAAATGATTTGATATATGTGCGTTGCATCCGACTCAGAAAAACGAAGAGAATTGGTTAAATTTAGCATCACTTCCATCACACCGCGGTTCCATCGAATCGATCTCTATTATTCTCTTCCTTGTCATCGATCCTTCAACTCTTCCCACTTGCTCACAGCCAACCTGGGAAGTCTTGGCTGAGATTTTCTGGCGGTGGTCCCCCAACCCGGTCGCAGACTGTTGGACGTGCGCTGCGAGCCAGGCGGGTTCCTCCTCCCCATAGACAATGTCCGTGGTTTGGGAGCAAGGGCCACCAGGACCTTGTATCAAACACCCAGGACGACATTAGAGCGAGTTTCATGGACCCTTGTCCAGGTCTCAGCCTGCCGATCATTCTCGAAGACTTGGGGATGGTAGCAGCCAAACCAGCCAATCAATTCCTCTCTTCACAAGTACATCTCCGATTTCTGTCTGCGAAAATATGTTGCTCTTCGTCAATAGATGCGCCACAGATGCACCATTGACCAATCTTCCTTTGCGTTGAATTTTATTCCTCTTTCGGGTGGCAGCAAATACAACTGTACTTCATAATATCCGGAAGCACTCTACCCCTGACCGACACCGCCTTCCAACTGGGGTGGTGTTAAGTGGCTCCAAGCTCCGTAATAAGCCCTAACCGTTTTTTGCTCTTGACTTGATTCCTCCACAGATCGTACGCTGGAGCCCCTCACAGCCAGGTGAGTGGCTTGGTATACATAATAGTCTGATCGTACGCGGCCCCCGGGTGAATTCGCGATACGAAGCCAGAGTTAAATACCTGATGCATACTCCACCTCTCCACAAGGCCAGGTAGTGCGCCGGGCGTATATAGTACATGCCACAGGCTGTTTTCTCCAATATCGGCCTAGGAGCCTGACATTATCTGCCATTGTAATGTATAGCATGGTACTTACATGGACCGAGAAGAGAAAATTAGAAGATCAATGGTCCTTCCGATCTCCGTTAAGGATGAGGTGTACTGGTCGAATGGAGCCAGGCCCGCTCATTCAGGGACCATTCCCCCCCTCCCCCCTGCGTGAGAGGGATGACTCCACCTTGACGCACACATCATCGGGGGAGGAACCGCATAAACCGATGTATCCTTGCTTTCCTCGGCGCAGGCCTTGAGATGACCAGCATGACCCTGGCCCAGCAACTTCCATCACGCTAGTCTGCGGCAACAAGAGGAGGCTCTTGCTGCGACCCTACACCAAATGCTCTCCGAGTCTCGGTGGTATTATAGCTCTTTCTTACATCCCTGGATCCGGGTACCTTAGCTATGCTAACCCAACGGTAAATCTCCGTATTACCACGGCGTTTTATAGTGTTGGTGCAGGCAAGAGAACGCTCTGCCCTGCTCTGTGCTCTTGGTCTTGTGCGGATCGCCGTCCCCGGCACTTCCATTTTCATCCTCGACTTCTCCCCTCCAACTCCCGCGCCAGATCCACCTCTGCACTGTACATTTCAAACAAGTCGCGTCTTTAGAACAGACAGTGACTTTCATGCGTTGGACACGCAGCCATGGCCTGGGTGTCTTGTCTATTGCATTCGAGTCTGGAGTGCTATCGCTATCCTCATCGCCGCACGGCGACTTTCATCCTAACCTGCATGCACCTTGAGAAGAGCGACGACAGTATCGTTTCTTCCCCATCTCACCTGGGCCAGGCCATCATCAGATCTTCTCTCTCCCATCTTCGTTCATCCTTGCTACTCGTTGCTGGTCAGCGTTTCGACTGTTGACACCTAAGCCATTTCCTTCTCCATTTCGACGCAACGACCTCCATTAATAGCACAAAATCCTTCTCCACTCTCTCATGGTGGCTATGGTATGACGTTCTGGCATACTCCTACTCCTTCGCCAGCGTAGTCCCTCAGCATTCCTTCCTGAGGAAACTATTCGCGCTGTTGCTACGCCGGCTATCGAACAGCACTACCACCCCCCAATTTGCATTCCTGTTCTCTCCTTTTTCTTTGTTCATCGTGCCCCCCTTGCTAGGACTCACCCTCCAAGTTATTCAGAGTGTCTTAGGGATCAATTCCATCCACACCCTCCATTACGCCGCCACCCTCCCCCCGGACGCTGAGGTGTAAGTGTGAAAAAAGAGGTCACCGGGTTGGTATATCCTCTCCTTTTGCACCCTCTCTGTTTTCCTTCGGTTCGTGGACGATCCGAGGCTAGGGAACGGGGTTCTGGGTGATCAACCTGAGGGTTCGAAGCTGCTCTAACCGCAAGGTTATCTACAATAACTTTGTTGGCTCACAGGCGTTTCGGGTGTTTCAATCCACATTGGGGTTGTCAGTGCGACACTCCTCCGTCGATCGCCTACCACTTGACCGTTCGGACTTATATGGTTTGCTTGCCTGTTGCTGGCTTTGCCATACCAACCCCTAGACACTTCCTTTTTCGCCCTTCGTCTGTCTTGCTTGTTTAGACACAAATAGCTTCACTATCACCGCCCCCCGCCGCCCCTCTTGCCTCCCGGGGTTCACCAACAAATTCGTGACCAACTCCACACACACACACATACGCTCAACACTCGCACCAACACATTCCTCACTCACCCGACTGGTGTTCTATTTCTCTATCCAGAGTGACCGGATCAGCATTTGGATTTGTCGACGGCGGATATTCCATGTTGATGTTTAGTGCTGGAAAGAAGAATTCGCTCTCCGCCGATTTCGACGTCACCGCATAGACTGACTTATACGCGATCTTGTTCCATTTTGACAGCGAACCGAAAGTGCCGGCGACACACAAAGTGGAGAACGAGGGTAGCGATATTGACGAACACTATTGGTGATCCATTCTCAATTCTTAAGAGACGCCCTCAACACAGGTGCAGGATCATTTGGTTTCGAAGCGAAGCAGTGCAAAAGGAAATTTTGGTGTCATTTCGGCCTGGACTTATCTACGGGCAGCAACTTTTAACCCCCCCCTACGGGATACGACGACCTCCCCCAACCCAAGGAAACTCAACCAGTCAGAAGGAAATGGACCTCTTGTCATTATTGAACTCTTCAGCGGGAACTAATTTGAAAGAAGCTGAAGATATTCAACGGCACCAACCCGAAGAATCTGTGGTTGAACCAGTTCCACCTTCGTGGGCGGGCCTGCCCACGCCCTCGCCGGAAAAGAGCCCTGCGAGGACCTGCTCCGACGAATACCGACCGGCGCTCAAGAGCCGGACGCCATGGGATGCTGGCGGCTACTCGCTACCTTTGAGCTTGGACACGAAGTTTTTCCCCTCAACGCAGAAACCGGCCATCTATAGCGAGTCAGTGGATTCCACATCCATTTCCGCGCTATCAGCCGTCACTCCTTCTAGCGGCCATTCAAGGTCTACGTCCCTCGAGTCCTCGCCTGCGGATATGGTATCGTCAGCTTTGGTGTCTCCTATGACCATCTCGCAAGCATTTAAGTATGTTGACTGCTTCGTGGGTTCTCAAGAGTATGCTTGGAGGTTTGGACTGACTAACCCGGCTCTCATGAACAGACCAGCGTTTTTAGGCGAGGCCGATCCACAACTTGAGATATATACTGGCCGACGGTAAGAAACCCTCGATAGCATTTCTTAGCCCCTCATCCTCTCCTGGCGGGCGACCGTCTAGTGGTCGTGCATAGCCTAGAGAAGAAGACAAAGACTGATCGGCCTTCTTCATAGATCCAGCTCCGCAAGTGAGATGGACGCTCAGTTGACTGCTAAGAAGTATGTTTGAAAAGACTTCAAGACTTCTCAACGGCCACCGAGTTCCTTCATGAGTTTGCTAACGCCCTGTCACTAGGCCTAGCTTCTTAACCCATCAAGACACTCCCACCTCCCCGATGGGCAGCCCCAAATCACCCAACCACAAGTTCTCGGATAGCCATAGCAGCCTGTCATCATACTCGCCATCGACACAGTCAGGAGGGCACTCAAGGATATCGTCGTTCTCGACGGTCGGCATGGCCCAGCCCGTGAGCACACTGTTTAACGAGATCCCCTCAATTCAAGAGAAGGCTGAGCGCAATGAGGGAGAAAGGTTGAACCATAACATGTCGGCGATGAACGAGACTCGGCCTCCTTCTAGGGGACTCCCTCAGCTGAACAATGAAACGCCACCTAGGTTCGGGTCGTTCAGCATCGAGCCCCGCCGTCCGAGGAGCCCGTCAGATGCGTTCCTAATCTCGAGGGGTGGGGCTCGTCTGAGCCCACCTTCGAGCAATACTGAGTAAGTGGGCTGTGTTTATTCTGCGCTGGACGCATGCCATGTCGCATTTCCCTGGAAAAGTGGCCGGGATGTTCGCGGGTCCCATCGTTCCATGTCGTTGAATACGGACTGGTGCATGTCACAGCTAACCTTCCTAAATCTAGATCCCAACCGCATCCTGAGCAGCCCTCGGTTGAACAGTCCAGTGATCATCTAGACACGCTAAACCCACTACCCAACACCATCGCTCGGTTCCCGCAGCATTCCTCTCATTTGCAGCCTGTACATAAGCATAAGCGGGCCATTTCGGCCCCAAGCTTCGCTGCTTTCCGACCCCAACCACTTAGTTCCGCGTATGCAGCTCGTACTTTTCCTCCACCACCGGCGCCGCAACCTCTGGTGCATCAACATCACCAGCCCCCGCAACCACAGCTACAATTACAACCGCAACTGCAATCACAGCAAACTCACCAGCCTGTCCAGGGATTCCCACCCCCAGCTCCTACTGGCCAGACGCTCCCTTCACTAACCCGGCCCCAGCTGGCTTCGATTCCAGTGCCCCGCCAACGGGAACAAAACCTTCATATCCGATGCGAGAGGGTTGAGAACTGTGATACTGGTACGGACAGGCGCAAACTCATCTCGCACGTTTTCGGACGAAACAAGCTATGCACTCGGGCGATCCCGCAGGAGGTCTGGGTTCACTATTGCCGCAAACACTACCAGCGAGAGCGGTACCGGAAAGGGCCTGAATACGCAAAGCTTCAAGCCGACTTGATCTTGGTGCAGATCGACCGCATCCAAGCGTGGTCTGATGGTAATGTGTCTGCCAACGACGGACCTGTTGTGAAGGATTGGGCGCTCAGCATTCGGAAACGTGAGCAACAGAGGCGAAAGCGGAACCAGGATAACAGCGATGATGAGGAAGAGGAAGATGATGATGCGGTGGCGCTCGGTACTGCCGTCCCCGACTGGCTCGCAGGCCAAGCTGGAGCCGGATACTCGACGGGGCAGATCAAGGCGATTATGGCCCAGCTCCGTGACGAAGTTCATGCCGGAAATCTCCTGCAACTACCCGATATTGAGATCCTTCCCAACATTGAGGGTGCTGTTGCGCCTCGGCGGCCACAAAAGCGAAGATCCAAGTCGTCGGTCTCCCACCGGCGAACCCAGTCTATGGGCGTACCTGTTGCGAATGCTGCCATCCCGTCGGCTCATGAGCATGGCATGCTTTTTAATCACAGGCGGGGATCTCAACCGGCTATTATTATTACTGAAGAAGCCGGCCGTGCCGAGAAGCGCAAGGCTGAAGATTCACTCGAGGCTTCGTTAGCTCCTCCTAATGCTAGGCGGACTGCTCTCGTCCATCGTCCTGCATTCCAGCAAATCCAAGAGGAGAGATCCGAGCACCTCGAAGCCCACCCACAACCACCTTCTTTGGTGGCCCCTCAACCACGTCACGGGCGATCGCGGAGTGATATGTCTCATCTCTTGAGCGAGCCTCGCAGCTACCCCACCGGTTTTAAGCCGCCCCTTCCCAGCATTTCGAACTCGATGGGTCGCATCGAGAACGACGCTACTGGAAGCGCCTACTTTAACGCGGATCCCTTCCGCGCCGGCGGCCAGACTGGCAGCATCGGTCGACAGGGACCATCAAACTTCGAGGACAATCCGGTGTCGCGCCTTGGCTTGACGGCTCAGAGAAGACGGGTTAGCACGCCGAACGCTAGCTATATGGCCCATGGACCTAGTGGCTCCGGCAACAGCAACCCCGCGTTCGACCCCTTGCAACAGCTTCCTAACCCTTTCGCTACTATTGGTACTAGTGGGCCAAGCCAGACCTTTGTCCATGGTCAGGGAGGTGAGGGGCAGACGCCTCTTCCTTCTATTAGCCAGGTTACTGGCGAGGATTTCCGGGGGCATCACTAACGGGAGTTCCCGCGATGGCGGCGGTGGTCCGCTCGTTGTGTTCGGCGCTAATATGGAGCGTGGCGTTTTCTGGAAGCCTGGTCCTGGAGCGCAGCTGTTGAAGGGGGACGGGGATGGGATCGTTTTGACATGACCATGACTGTTCTTTCTCTTTTCTTTTTTTTATTTATTTTTATTTTTTATAATGACGATACCACCTATTGTTTATCAGTTACGGCGATAGCTGAAGGGAGACGTTGGAAACACCGCGCGTGTACATCAGATAAAAATGGGGTTTGCTTCCATTCTAACCTTCAGGCCAAGCTATGTTCCCTGGATTTTCTTTTGGATTTTTTATTACTATCTTTGTTTGCTCATTTTCTTCTCTTGTTCATTGACCACTGGGGAAGAAAAAAAAAAGTGCGACAGGCACATCATCTGTTGCCGTCGATGTTCATCATTCATTTTAGGTTTGCTTTCCTTCTCTGTTTCCTCTTTCCTTTGGACTTGAACTACGGTTTTAATTTCCTGTATTTCTTCATGTGCTGGCGATAGCCACTCTTACATTATGAACTATATTCTCTTTTCTAGTCTTTTTCTTCTTTTCCTTTTTGAAAACAACATTTGTGGGAAGGTTTCTTTTTCAGTTTACGGATCTGGTTTTTCTCTTGTGTCCGGAATGGGAAGACAAAATAGGTGAATCTCTTCAGCCGGCCCGAAGAAGAACAAGAACAATATCATGGTTGTATCTAGTAATGGAAGAAGAATCTATGGTATAAAGGCTAGAGAACAGCATTTTCATCGTGTCGACAAGAGGTTCTAGGAGCAGAGGGCCGGTTTCATTTTGCCAGTATCTCCGAGGTGTATCGTGGAGATAGGGCTGAAGAAGCATATATCCGGGTGTGTAGTAGGTAGTTATGGCTGCCTTTGAGAGTACAATTCAATGTGGTGTGGTTGGGGGAAACGATCATCACGACTCCATAATCGATGTCAAGGGTAAGGGGCAAGGCAAGAGATCAGATCATGGATGCCTTGGTTCCACATATCATCGAATGATGCAGGACGACCGTCGCCTAGTTCTGACTGCTTGACCTCACGCATCCATCTGCGGGTTGAAATAGCGATATCGTCGGTTGAGGCACGATATCCAAAACCAGAAGCGGCGATGCCGAAGAGGGGGTGTATGACTAACAGGAGCGTATGGTTTTTTCTAGTTTTTTTTTTTTTTTGTTCAGAGAAGACAATAAGTGATTTTATTAGACCTGGGGCATTTATAAGCAAAGACTTTTTTTTTTTTAGGTGTCTGAGAAATATTGTTTTGCTCTGCGAAGCAGGGCAGTCAATGTCCCCTTTGGAAGGGACAAAAAGAAAGGGCGGACGGGAGATTTTCGGCTTTCGTGGCGGACTTCGCATCTGCCGGCCGGGTGTGCGTTAGGCAGAAAAAATAGAACGGGAAAATCAATCCCCCCTCTTTTTTTTTTTTTTTTTTTTTTTTCTCTCAAGAGCAGCGAGGAGGAGACCGGAGAACGGGGAGACTTTTTGGACCTTGAATCTTGTCCGCTTTGTTGTCTGCGCAGTGTTGCTCCTTCCCTTTTTCAACACTAGTTGGATTTGAACATGTCGTCAGAATCTTAGTAAACAGCGTTCCAAAAATATCCGCAAACCAGAGGACGTGGAGTTTCCCCTGGTTCAGAGGGTTCGCTTGTATCTAATTCGTACAGTGTACCTAGAGGCAGGAGAGCGTTCTGCATGTTCCGGATCTTCGGAGGGTCAGCCCTACAGGGATAACAAGTACAGGGACTTAGGAGGGACTTAGGGGGCAGGACCCCTGCAAGTTCGGAAACTGGGGTTCTATTGTTCTGCACCGCCGGCGTTTGTCAGCGGTGCCAAGACTTGGGTCGAGCCCTCCGAGAAGTTGTTCTTGTGAGGGGGGAAGGGAGAGGAGAAGACGGGAGACGGGAGATTAAATGTAACATAGTTCTGGAAGTCCTTCTCCTCCCGTGAACCGGTGATAATATCGATAGCGTTTGGGATGGGCGGGAGAAGAAATCGTGTAAATGTCTAGAAAAAAAAAAAAAAAAAAAAAAAAAAAAAAAAAAGGTGGTGTGCCTAGGTTGTCCATGGGGCCATTTTTCGTGTACATGGTGCCTGGGTAGAACTGGTTGCTTCGATGAGGGCGGTTTGATATGTCGGTTTACGAGTTCTGGCCATGCAGAGGCATACAAGTCTGAAGCTATTCAGATTGATTCGAGACCATGTGCCGCGGTCGGTGAGTTTAGTGAGGTAGTATAAACCAACGTTGAAATTTCGACTCGCTTCAATCGCACCCGCCCATTCATCCAACTCTTTCCCTTGATTGTAAAGACCGGGGGCTTTCGGTCCGAGACGGCCAGTTGGAAGCAGGAAACACCCTGTTTCTATCCAGACATCAAGCAAAGGAGGGGAGGATGATAGCACTAGGACTTCGTAGGGCAACTATGAAACTAGCCTTTCCCCTTTTACTACTTCGTAGGGACAGCTGAGGAGTCTAAGTCGTATTGGCGGTTATCACGATCGTCACTGTTTGCTGTCACAGGACTCGAACAAAAGAACCGTTCTAGAAGACCCAATTATCACCCTCCCTCAAACTCAAGATTGAAATCGCTGGCTTACAGGGAGGGGGGCGGGGCCGCATACTTCGTAGCCGAGTACGAAAAGACGCAGCACATGTCATTTATCCTTATTATTAGGGCTGCTCTTTTTGTCCTTTGGGCGGGCCATCCACCCGTTCTGGGTGACACACACTACTTTTACCTCAAACGTTACTTTTCTTGCCGCATGCGATTTTCGATTGAAGCGGCGAAATTCCCCGCATAAGTTCGATTGTTCCTATTCGGCGGTTTGGTATTGCAAGTACTTCGTACCTCCTCCTCGGAGATAGCGAATGCGAATGGGTTGTCTTCTTCTTCTCGCCCTGGCCCCGGCGTCTAAGCATGGAAGGATTGCGCTTCTTGTCGACAGGATCATTGTGCTATGCTATCTGGTATGTTCTCAAGTCCTAAGCTCTCAGCCGTCATTGCTCAGTAAGTAAATCCTTGTGCTGCGCACGTGCAATACGAACTATGAAGGAGCACCATGGAGCGACAGGGGAGCAACAGATCATCCACCTTCATTCCTTCCCTTCTCGCAGCCCAATCTCAGACCCTTCTGGCCAGGCCAGGTCAATACCAATTTGTAGCAAGCACCGCCGACAGTTACTTCGCGCTTGAAGTCGTGCAGTCGACCCATTTCTGAGTTGTCTAATGATCCCGATTTGCTTACGTGAAAAGGCCCTTGTTCAAGCTAAAGATAACACGAAGGTTCATTGGACAATCATTCAGATTGTTCTGTCCTTGCGAGAAGTTCGATTTGGGGCAAGGCAGACTGAGAGTGTAGGTGCATCCCAGCCCATGCGCATCCCAGTGTTACCCACTAATTCACAGCGTGCCACTACCACCACCCCCTCCCCTGTACACCCCCTGTCCGTCCGTGGCAAGAACCAGCAACGGCAGCCAGCCACAACCAGATTTGCAGGCCAATGGCAGCCGGACCCTGCACCGACCGCACTTTCCTGCGAAACCCGCGGACTCGGGCGGGGTTTGTAGCGGTCTTCGCTTTACACTAAGTTCTCAATCGGATTCTCGTTAACGTCTCTCTCCCCCTCTACCGCTCCAGGGCTGCGCTTTGTGGATTTTAAGAAGACTCCATTCCGAGCCGCCTTATTCGTCCGCAAGCGCAGGGGCGTCAAATAATGTTGTTCCAGGCTGCTGATCTGTCTTCACTGACGCTCCCACCTTGACAGGGTGATGGCGTGAGTCCTTTTTTTTTTTTTTTACATTATGGAGCGGGAAGGGCGGGATCAAGCGAATCTCGCACACCCTCCTCGCCCTTCGCTCCTCGTGCCGCATCAGAAGTTCCCTGAAGAGACCACGATTCGGACGGAAGAACGGAGACTTTTCCTATCTCCGTGTGAACAGGGCAAGGTATCTTGACAGCTAAGTTATGCGGGAAAGATGACTCTCAGGTACAAGAGCCATCCAAGACCACCCGGAAACATTTTAGAATACACATTCGAGGATGCAGATGGCCCAGCGAGGCATGGTAAGGGCGGGGGGTGGTCCGTTTTGGCGTCTGACCCGACGGGGGAGATTGGGTGGCACTTCAGCCCTACACGCCCCCTTGTTCCCTGTTCCGTGCTCCTCCCTCTCACCTGGGACCGTTGATGGATTGATTGATGGCCCGCTTCATCAAGTCCTATACCATGGTGAACCGGCACCATTATCTCCGCCATGCTCTGATGGCTTGCCCTCCCGATCCTCTCCATCCATCTTCGGGCTGTGTGACTTTTCCATGGTCGCATTCTCTTGACGTTGCAGTGTATCTTTCTTCCCTCCCCCCATCCCATGCCTTTCGCTTCTTTACCCATGCACCAAAAAGGGCACCTAGCCAAAAGCGGACAGGCGGCCAGTTGAAAGAAGCCCTGCAGAGAAACTCCGCATCCTGGTTGGGAGGGGTGCCGAGGTGTGTCATGTCTGTGTGTGTGGCATCAACAGCCCTGACTCGCATGGACGGGAGACGACTCCATCCCGTGCTGCATACATTAGATTGTATGCCTGGTCTCTATATATCATGATACTTCTCTTCTGGATCGACCTCCAATCTCTTTTGCCCTCCTGCCTTCACTCTAGTGTCTTCCTTTGGCCTTTTTTATATAATTCTGCCACGTCTCCTCGTATCGCATACTCTAGCACACCCATGCAACTCCTTCGTGTTCCTTCGCCATGGCTCGTCTCTCATAATGATTCCCTTGGACTCCACTTCTTCTTGGCTCCTCCCATGCGCCCCCGGCGCCTTTCTACCTTGCTATATATCAACAAATGACGTTCTCTTCTCCGGCACTCAAGGCGCCAACTTTTCCTCTCAACCGCCCACCCCGTCTAGAGAGTTTAGCAACATGCAGTCGCAGGCTTCTTCACCGGGCTCATCCGCCGGTGCTCCTCCACAAACTCGGGCCAGTCGCGCCTGTGAAAAATGTACGCGCGCGAAGAAGAAGTGCGACAAGGGCGTTCCCTCGTGTTCGCGATGTACAAGGTATGTTAGGTCAAAGATAAAACAAACCGAGAAGATTTATCTAGATCTCGTCCCATTTTGCGGCTGGTTTCACATGGGCTTTCTATATTGTGAGGTCTTTACGGGTCTAGATGGTGCCGGCGCCGGCTCCGAGGTTGCAGTTGTGGGGGCGTAAGCACGAACAACCACCTGCAGATCTGGAGTGACGACTCCTTTTCCTCCTTTTGGGGGCTTTTTTTTCTTTTCTTCTTTGTTCTTCTTTCCGTGTTTTCTTTTTGTTGTTTTGCTTACTGCTTGGGTATTTTATGTCACCAGTTCCCTACCTAGTCTGCAGTGATCTGGACTATCGACTCCTCTCGCCCCGAAAGGCGTAATGTCCACACAACGAGAGTGGCTCTGTTACCCTTGCAGAAAGGAGGCTGACCTGTTCGGGATCTCTTTTATAGGCTCGTTACGAAATGCATCTATGACTACACGTTGATACCGCCAACGCTGAGCATTGCTGGCGACCAGCCCTTGGTCAACCTATACGTCTCCGGGTCCAGCACCGATCTTTCTCGCTTCAACCTCCTCGACCCCTCAAGCCGAGTCACGGCAGAACAGATCCATGTCCTCCTGGCCTCCCATGGCGTGGGTTGGCGTGACATCGTGACCGACTACTTTCAGACGATGCACAAGTGGTTTGCCGTTGTCCAGACCGAGTGCTTCGATGCGAAGCTCGACGCCCACTCTTCCTCAATCTTCCAGGACCCTCCCGTGGTCCCGAACGTGGCCGGCTCGCCCTCGGGATCGACCCGCGGTGCGGACAAGGCTGATCCCGCCGAACTAGCAACCGTCTTTGCCTGCATGTACTTGTGCGCGCAGTGGGCCGAGAGCACGGCTAACACACCTAACCCCACCGGCGCTTCGAATTCGATGTCAACCAAGGATTTGTACGTTTCGATCAAGAGAGCCTTCTCGCTACTCAAGGCGACGGCGAGACCGAGTGTCGAGCTCGTCCAGTGCGGGTTGTTGCTCGCAATATACGAACATGGCGAGGGCGAAGTGCTCAGGGCGTACTCGACTTTTTCCGAGGCAGTAGCCATGTCGAGTACACTGGGTGTGCGGCCTGGTGAGTACGAACAGATTGCGGATGATTTGCCGGTGAGCCCTGCCGACGAGCAGTTGAGGGTGCTCTACTGGGCGCTTTTTATCTGGGACAAGTGAGTGATTTCCTTTGATTATTATTGGTTCCCTCCCTCCCTCTCTCCTTTTCTCTCTGTCTCTTTATACTAACATCGGAGCAGAGTCTGTCACCTTGATCGTGCCATCATGCCTCTTCCGATATTCCTTCCCGAGCCTTCTCCATCGGCTCTGCTTCCCCTCGACAACTATGTCTCAGGCAACATTCTCAACCCTGAGCAGGTCCACCGCATCCCCATGCGTGCTCCTCTCTCGGCTCCAGTATCCACGACACCTCTCGGCGACTTCCAGCGCTCATGCCAGGCTGCCGCTCTCTTGTCTCGCGCACTCGATTGGAGGGCGTCGTGTGAAGGCTCAAGGGACGAGACCCCGGTGCCCGAGGTGTTTAGTGCTCTCGACATGGAGGCGAGGGAGATGGCTGAGGTTATGATCATACAAGAGTGCAGGACACCTTGTGGGGATGCCACGGCCATGTGCTTGTCGTAAGTGGCTCTGATATAGTAGATATTTTTTTTTCTTCTCTCATTCTAACACACTACAGACTACTTATCCTTCTCTCGTCGACCATACTAGAGTCGTCAGATATCGTCCTCACGGCACCGGATATAACCTTGAAGGCTCTATCGACGCTCAACTTTTCCATTCGTCTCGTGCTCGACGCATACTCGAGCCTAGCTCACGGCTGCGCCACTCCCCTGCTGCACCCCGCCGGCGCGGCGCAGCAACTCCACGCGCAGTCATCGAAGCTCCCGACGTTGAGATTGCCTCTACCTTCGGCCGCCCATGCAGTGCATTCGGCGGCCCTTGCCTCGGAAGCCTTTACCCCCGTTGGCGAGGGCGAAGTGGCCACCTTGAGGAACATGCTGGCCTCTTTGGGACAAAGGTGGGGCATTGCCCGGCGGATGAGATAGCGTCTTGGACTATTCTGCAAGTAATGAGCGGCGTTTCATTTTGTTTGTCTTACCTGTGGCGTTTTGGAGAGACATATCTTTGCTTTTGTTTTTTTCCCTTTCTTTTCCTCTTGGAGAAATTTCCGGAGATGACATGCATAGCTCGTTGGTATCACGACATTTATAGATGAATGGATATCGGCGCGGAGTTAAAGGGGGATTGGGATGGATATACTTAATATAGTTATCATAGAGTCTGCATCAGGTCGTTTCGAATAGTCTAATCCGAACCAGTTTCCATGCTGTCTTTCACTCGTAACAGGCCTAACTACGGGATGATACGATATGTCGATGCTTATAATCACGGATGGTAGATTGGTGAGACTCGACGAAAAGCTAAAGATAAGATACACGTCTCGGGGGGTAGAGCAAGTCGGGCCTCCCCATACCAAGAAAGACAGCCATTTCCTTTTCCTTTCTCAAACCTGGCAAGAAGTAAAAAATGTGACAAGAACCAAAGCGAGGAGGCAAGGGGAAAAAACCAAGAACTGGTGGTGATGCCACATCTGCAAAAGATCTCCCGCTAAATAGAGCGATAGGGACCCCGAGGAAAAAAGGAGAAGCACGTCGAGATAAAGCATCAAGCCGATTTTGGATAGACGGAGGGCTCAAGTCCTGCAAAGAACTGATAAGGTACACTCTCACAAAAGGCAATGGAAACAATCTAAAGAGATAACGCGCCCTTTTTCGCTTTGTAGAAATCGGAAATCAGGGAATAAAAAAAAATAAAGTTGAAAAATGTCAGTCGGGGTATTTGATTTGATTTATCCGTTGATCCCATCTTGTTCCTCTTCTTCCTCTCCAGCCTCTGCTTCTGGCTTTCCAACGACCAACTAACCTACTGACTAATGGGGGCCATGTACAGAGGAAGTGTTTCTGTGTCTTTCCTTGGATATTACACAGGATATCCCGATAATAGAACAAAGCTCAAAATCCCATTTCTCCAATCCCAAGAGAAGAAAGAAAAACGAGTGACAAGAAAAGAAAGAAAAATAATAAAAGACAGAGGAGAAGAGGGAAAGGGGTAAGAAAATGAAAAGAGGGAAAAGGAAAAACGCCCAAGAATGCCCCCATTTTGCACAGGACAAATGAAAAAAAAAAAACAAGTCCAGACGAGGCTCAAGAGAGACAAAAAACAAAACGAGCCCCGGTCGCCTTGTAGCGCACCCGTGATATTCCTCGTGCGCCGAGTATGCAGTTGCAGTGTCCGTTCAGTAGACCCAAATCCCAAATCCCTACTCTACCAGCCGTTAATTCGTCAATAGACACAAGGAAAACATGCTCTTCCTATCGCCGTTATTGTCACACACCCACACACACACACACACATTCTCTCTCTCTCGTGTTTTAAAATCCCTCCATAACAACGACAAGCAACAACCCGTTCAACACAAACAGCGCCAACCCACTCGCCCACACAACTGCATGATGCCACAGACTTAACACGTCCCTGCGGCAGAGATGCATGCCTAACGCGGCGCAAGCGGCAAACATGCTTGTAATGACACCCAGCGCGGCGCCGGCGTTGACCTCGAGCTTGTTGCGGTGGCGGCCTGTAAAGAGGAGGACGCCGGCGATGCCCATGACGATGAACGACGTGGCGAAGCAGCCGACTGTACCCCAGAACATGACGTTCTCACGGTAGCGGCGGAGGGACTGCTCATTAATGCTAGGTAGAGTGGCGTAGTGTACCAGGTAACCTTCGGTGGGGTAGGTGTTGTCCTCGTTGGAGGTGAGGTCATCGTCGGCGTCCGACTCCGAGGTTGTACGGTTCGATGAGGAAATGGTGGAGTAGCCGGTCCGGGGGGGTTGGGTGGGGCCGGCCGTTTGGGCTGCTTCTGTCGCCTCTAGGGAGCCCACGGTGGCGGGGACACGCTCGGGAAGCAGAGCCTGCCGCTCGGGGTCTTCCTCTGTAGTATTGGCTCTCGTCTCAGGGGCATGTTTCTTACCTCCGAACCACGATTTGGCCTTTTCAAACGGCGCCGTGAAGGCAGCTTGCACGTAGCTCAACCCGGGAATGCCCACATCTTCCTCGGGGTTGATATACAGGGCGTAGGGTTCTTCGGTGCCCGCACCCTCGCCATCGCTGCCGTGGTCATACTCGTTCCAGTAGAGCATCTGCGGCGGCGGCAGAGACTTGAACGACTCCGCCCCTACCGTCGTTGCGCCAGCCATAGACCGCGGACGGTCAGGCTCAAGAGTTGACTCTGGAGACGTCGGCTCACTGACAACGTCGGGGATTGAGGTGCGAAGGACGGCGCGAGTCTCATCGTAACGGGAACGGAGGTGGGAATAGTCACGGCGGCTAAAGGATTTCGGGTCGGACAGCACGTGCTCGCGGAAGCGTTCGCCTAGAGTCGGGGAACCGGTCCATTTCTATGCGTTGCGCCGAGGGCATCGCGTTAGCAAGAGGACCACCAGGGAATGAACTAGGAAGCTTTCCAACAATCGGGGATATGTGGCACATACTTTATATTTCTTGAGAATCTTGCGGAAGGCCTCTGTTTGAGCGGTGGTAAAACGGGTAAGGGCCTGGATATCATCGCCGCAGTGGAGGAGTTCTTGTTGGTACTTGACGAGCCGGCGCTGGCGCTTAAGCGTCATTGGGGAGCGGGCGCACCTCGAGGCAAGGCGATCGATGGAGTCGGCTAGGTAGTCTACATTGGGTGAGGGCCATCTGTTAGCTCTTGCTCGTTTTCTAGGAAGAACTTTTGAGGAGTGAGGCCGCTGAGGGTCGTACTTAGTCTGTAGGAAATTTCAGAGGCCTTGCTCGTGACAAAGAGGTTTACGCGGTCATGTTGCATAGCCAGCTCCTCAAAGAAGGAATCTTCAAACCGCTGGAGAGCCATGTCCTTTTGTCCCGGGATGGCCATGGCGCGAGCCTGATCGCGGGTTGTGTGTGTTTTGATCTCATATTTGAGAGAGTTATAGTCGACGTTGTCTGTGTCAAGAAAAAGGTTAGCTTTGACTCATTGGCAATCTAGTGACTTCACTGTGATGCTGTGGTAGTGGTAGGAGTGCGGGCGGGCAGTGTGACGTACGAATACTCCATTCTGGAACGGACTCCTGTTCAAGACGTTGGCCGAATTTCATCAGGAAGCGTTGGAGAGACCGATTGAGGCGTCTATGGATGATCAATTCCCAGTAGCGGGCAGTGTCGGTGGGTCAATTGGAGAATTGGTGTAAGGTATAAGAAGCGCTGGCAAGCTCCTCGACTTTGCGATTTGCTTGGGTCGTGGGGGTCAACTCTTATGAGGGAGTGTGGGAAGCAACGGACAGGAGAGAAATGGTCGATACGGTTAGTTCGCCGGAGTGTTGGACAGAGGTGGTAGTGGCGGTGGTGGTAGTGGTGAGAGGTGTGAGGTGGGAAGCTAGCACGTCACGATGTTTTCGAGATGGGAGGCAAATTGTAAAGGTTCAAGTGCGATGGAGTTCGAAACGGGTGAGGGGAAAAAAGAAGCTATAGATAAGCAGAGGAGGGATGAAACGAAAGCGAAGGGAAGGTGCTCGGCGGAGGAGCGATGACTGGTGGGGATATACTTTTGTAGTAAGAGGGAAAGGAAAGGAAGGAGGGAGTGAGGGAGAGAATTGAAGGCAGGAAAGAAGCAGAGGATGTACAATCAGAGTTGAGTCTGTCGAGATTCAAGTACTTCGGCGCGGTAGCGATTGAGACCTCGGAGAGAGGCTTGGGAGGGCGGAAGTACAAGTAGAACACAGGCCATAACAGCCGAGAAGGGTACACAGGTACACAAGTTATGTACATAATTTACCTGGGTACAACTGTACACTGCATGGCAACATGGGTATCCACAGATAAGATGCTTCGAGCGTCGACATCTTTGATCTGAAGAGGGCCGCCGTTCGGTACGAAGGTAAAGTGGAGCACTAGTGGAGCGCAAGGAAGGACCAATCCAGGACCAGCCAGGACCAGCGGGTATGGTACGCGAAGTAAACTATGTAAGTTTACTTCGTACATGCACTGCAACACTGCATAGGATGGGCTGCATTCCCATTACCAATATACAATCTACTTGAGGTGTAGCTAGGAGCGTCCACTAATAGCCTAGTGTCGTCTTGGTGCCCCTACTGCCCGCTAATAAAGTTAGGACAGGCCGTACCATCGACGTCTCGGGGAGAGCTCCCGAGTTACATCAGTTTGGTGATAAGCAGCGGATAAGTACGTCTGGGACAGGATCAATTGATCGCAAGATTGAACTTACTTATTCAGTCGATACCAGGCACCTGACGGAGCCCGTGATTGATCGATCGATCAATTGATCTCATGAACTAAGCTACACACGATGCTTGGGAACAATCAAGGCCGAATACCAGCGGTCTTCTCGGGCGAGGGTCAGAGCCGCTGGACTGGATGCTGAACTAAGCATTACCTTGTGCTAGCACCGAAGATTGAGGTGAGGCTATCACACAAATCCGGTCCCGTGCGCTTCCGTTCTGTTCTGTAGTATAACAATTGATCTATCATCTCCAAGTACATCAAGTTGACTTCACCCGCCTTGTATCATCATCCAAGCAGCATATGCCAGGATTTGGCCTCCTCGTTTGATCAATTGATGCCACCAGCATTTGAAATCTTCATGGCTCCCGCGAGTCCCCCTCCTCATCCATCCAACCCTGCAGTACCTGCATGTATCGCCACCATCATTCATCGGTAGATGGAAACGAAATATCAGGTCTCACTTTTTTTATTTTCCTTCTTCTTCGTCTTTACCCATTTCTTTGCTGTCTACCCTCCCTTCCCGCCCGCGTTCACCTCAATTGTTTTTTTTTTTTTTTTTTTTTTTTTTTTTTTTTTTAGTGGAGTCCGATATTGTCTCAATGGGATGAACGAACCGGGCTCTGGCTACCATCGGGAGTCTCGAGGTCTCAAGTCTAGCTCTCAAGCTCTCTCCAGAGATCTCACAAAAAAAACCTCCCAAAACATCAAACTAGTTTTCCGTTTCCGGATTGATTTATCCTCAAATCTTACGAGGCTCAAATTACAATGCCGAACAAGTGAGAAAAGGACAAGCGAAAATGGACAAAAAAAAAATACAGGCACGGATAACCCCACTGGGAGACAAACTAGAGCCCTTCTCTCTCGCTTCTGTTTTTATCCATTGATTCTATTATATCCTCGATGTTACTCGGTGACTCGTTTACTCAACCACGGATTTTTTATGTAACAGTATTAACTGCCAAAGGTATTAGCTCCGGGGCGGGGATTCTGCAAGCCGTCATGCCGATGGCGACAGTGTTGGCTGTTGGGTGATGTGATGTTCGCCGTCCGTCCGCTCTCATTCCCATGCGAAGGGGAATATATTTCCCACCCCCGGACCGGACGGCTTGGACGGACGATGTGGTCACAGCGTCGTGCATTTCGAGGCAGTCGGAGAACTTGGAAACAAATCATGCTCACCTTGCCTGGTTGGAGTTTCTGGTTCAAATCCGAACATGGTTACAGATGCACATGGCGAATTACGACTCCGTACTTTTCGTGCTACTGCATACAATATCATAGATCATACTAGTGTGGTCAGACCAACTCGCCAGGGAAACCATTCTTCGGCTCGAGAGGAAAAAACGAAGAAGCCCAATGAGATGAACGATTGAAGGACCCAGTCCAACCCCACGAGGCCTTTCAATGGCGGGCCCGAGCCTGGTCGGCGCTGGATGGGGCCTTTGGGGCAGGGGTCCTGGAAGCCAAGATTTCGCAGAGAGACTGGAGAGCGGGGAGGGAAGCCTCGTGGGCGAATTTGGCGATCTCATTGGCTCGATTGAGCTTTGCAGGTTCAAAAAGGTGGAAAGATCAAAAGGTGACGATCTGCACGTTTTGGAGCGTAGCGTCGACGCCAGAACCATAAGTTGGGTATATTACAGTGGTGTTATAGGATCCTGGATCTGTATCCTGTGCAGTATGGTTTCCTGTACCCTGTATGGTATCCTGTATCTCGAATCCTTCCCGTGCTCTGTTCTGGTTCTAGTTCGTAATGCCCCGTGTTACCTTATTTCGTACTTGGTATGTCCGGCGTGCAGCCGACACTGAGCACCTTTCAAATTCGCGACGAAGCACGAAGCTCGGAGTCTACCAAAATATTGCATGTACTTCTAGACTTCAGTGAACAAGTGGGAAAAAGAAAAAGAGTCAAAGCTAAACTAGAGCCCCCCAGGAACCAAGAACCAAGAACTCAAAAAATAACAAAAAGAAAAGACCCGGAGCGCGGCCTACCTGGGGCTGCCAAGTCCGGTAGTCCTCCACCTCGCTACTCGAAAGACGAAGAAAAAAAAATGAAGCTCCGAGTCACCATTCTCCATCCTGCTATTTTGTCCCCTAAACCGAGGTGCAAAACAGTCCCGGTGTGATGTATTTCCCGTCCATCTTCGACGCCGGCCTCACGCCAACACTCCGGAATAGTTTCATCAACAACAAAAAAGTATAGCGCGCAATTGGACGCTACACTGCACTACACAATAATAACTCCGGGGACCCAGTAAAACGTCAAAAGAGAGAACTATCAATCATCTCTCTCCATCTGCCCCATCTAAACATCTCCACGCGGCACAGGTTCCTTGCTGTGCCTCGCCGACTTGGGAGTTGGCACTAGGCCCAATTCCGTGACAAGATCCATTTCTTGCGTGTTGCTAGCGAGAAACTAGCATCACTTTAGTCCCTCCTCCACTACCTGCACGGTACAAACTGACCCGTTCCAACCAGATGAACTACCGGGTTTTGGTTTACTCCACTGAGCGAGGAGTTGGCCCCGATCAAATGCTGCCTTGCGCGGTTGCTATTCCTCCACAGCACTGGCCGAAGTACGAAGTAGTGGAGTGTAGTAGTGATCGAGAACCAAGGAAAAAAAACATCACCAACAGATGTGAGGGTCCAAGTTAGAACCCCCCCGTCATCGCCCATCGTGGATCATGGGTATTATGGTTATTATGCGGAGGTCCTTTTACTCCCTCACACGCACAACAAAGATGCAGTTGCAGGCCCGCAGGCCCATATTGCTGCGGCGCCGTTTTCGTGCATGGCATTTTCTCTTTTGCTTTTCGGGGAGCTTCAGTCTTCGCTTCTCTTTCCCTCCCTCCACATCCCGCACATGCTCCGGGATGTGCTTCCGGTGCAAGGTTAAAGAAGGGCTAGAGAAAGCCGCGGGCCTTATCACGCGGCTGGCAAATGAGAGGAACGTAATTCGAGTTCCCGTACACGAAGTAAAAGAAACGAGAAAAAAAAAGAAACCACACTCCTGAAATATATAGGGACGTACATAATAATGATACTCTGCAAGTGGCCAAGCTTTCCTCCCAGAGTTAAATTACCGATGGAGACCAGCGTGGGGGAACTCCCGATCCGAGTCTGATTCGGAATGCTATTGCTTGGCGACCTGGGCGAGCGCAATGTATTTCAGCTGGGACGAGAACAACGTCGTCTCTCTTTCGGCTTAGCTGCTCAAGTGTTCATATACCTGGCTTTTCCTTTATCCTCTGGTGTGATGTCACGACTACGAGGCCTCTTCTGCTCGTGTGCCGAGATCGAGAGAGTTCTTCGATGGCAGTTTCGAAACACCGGAGTGCACTCTGAGCCCCAGAGACGGAGTCGATTAATAACATTGAGCACAATTACACTCGTCGATGTGCGCCACGTGAAGTTGAACTCTAAGAGGGGAAGCTCGGGAGTGCATCGGGGGGCTCTAGACTGTTCGGATTCTGGAGTCTCGAGAAAGTTTCAATCTGCCTATTCTTAGTTCTGGGCATGAGAACCACCCCCCCGATTTTATTCCCAACTCTGAGAGAGAGTTCAAACTCTGTTCCCACTTTCCGTGACGTAAGTCGTCGTTCGTGTGTCGTCGTCGTCGTCGTCCATGTCGTACCAGAAACCCCGATGTTGGCTCGAACAACCCACACCCCATCCAACAAACATCCAACAAGAACAAATCGTTCGAAATCTATCCCCTGGTCCTTTTTACGAGTTCCCCATATCCCCTTCATGCACACGCGGTCGGATTTCCCGCCCTTCTCTCGCGCCCTTTACCCCCGTCTCGGCCCTCCCGTCCTTCTGTTCTCTCCCCACGATATGTTCTATGCGTTCGATCGGA